AAAAAATTAATTTCATGGACAATAAGTTATACATAATCTCGAAAACACACTATTTACTCGGTAATAATTAATTTAATTTGAATAGAGGCAATTTTAAATTTCATTCCTATATTATCTATAACTAATTTACAATTATAGAGGCACTGTAGCTTATCAAGTGCCACTATATGTATTCTATGGCTTCTTGTTTGCCCACGAAATGCGGTCACCCTCAGCGCAGGGGGAGAGAGAAGGGGTTAGTCATGGGGTAGGGGCTATGTTGTGGGGGTGGGGGGTTTGTTATGGGGTAGGACCTATGTATTGGGGGTGGGGGTTTGTCATGGGGTGGGGGCTATGCTTTGGGGGTGGGGGTTTGTCATGGAGTAGGGGCTATTGGGGAGTGGGGGCTTGTCATGGGGTAGTCGCTATGTTTTAAAGGTGGGGGTTTCTCATGAGGTAGGGGCTATGCTTTGGGGGATGGGGTTTATCAAAGGTTAGAGGCTATGCTTTAGGGGTGGGGCTTTTCATGGTGTAGAGGCTATGTATTGGGGGGTGGGGGTTTATCATATTGTTGGTGGTTTGTTGTGAGGTTGGGGGTTTATTTGTCATGGGGTTGAGAGTTCATTTTGTCATGGGGTTCGGGGCTCGTCATAGAGGTGGGGTTTGCCATGGGGGTGGATTTATTAAAGAGGTTGGGAGTTTTCGAGTGGGGGTAAAATATGGGGATAGCCTCGCCCCTCCCCCACGTATGGGCCACCTTAGTGCGATATCCATTATTACATTATCACCATCATCACAGACTCGCATATCATATTTTCTTTTGAATTTTATTTTCCCTGTACTTTGCAATCAACATAACAGGGAATGACGAATGAAATCAGCGAGAATTTAAAATTCACTAACCCTTCACCCATATTTTCGCTTGCAGTTGTCACAAGATATCTTATCGAGATAATTTGTCGACATTTCTCCCGCTGTTTTCCGGGATACTCGCCCATAAACGAGGAGCTCGAGCGCCGGAACGGTAACGATAAACACACGATAACAACGATAACGGGGAACACGATCGACCGTATGCAAATTAGCGGATCTTGTGCTACGATCTGCATGTGCGATGCACGATACACTCAGAGTAATGAGGGAGAAATTGTCCTGAAATATACACTTAATGCCCATGTGTGAGTCATCCTGACTCAGTTTAGCCCGGCTTTGTGACGTATCTGAGCCACGTCCGCTATTTCTACTGGTGATATTGGTGGAAAATGAGTCATTATACGGACTATTTGACCCAATAATTGCTCTGGGTGTAGGGGCGCGCGTATATCTCGTGGTTGTGCGTATATACGCTACTAAGACGGTCACGATTTATCAAGATAAAGTATAGATAATTAATGCTGAACTTAGCGATCGTATGTTATGCATATATTACAGCCTCCTGTTCGTCACAAAAGTTTATAATACTGACCGTATATAATAGCTATATCACTTGCCTGCTGCTGTAGAAAGTTTACGGAAGTGATGCAATTTTATGTAATGTACCATGCATGAGTTTTAGTGTGATGAAATAATTTAAAACGGGACCTTATTAATCTATGGATTTTGTGATCCTTATCCAATACTTACATTATCATCGAATATTACATGCGTATACGCTGCCTATACGGATTCACAGGATATTTTACTTGAAAGCTGTTGTTCTCTATTGCATAAATATATCATCTGAACATATCCCAGGTTAATGGCATTACAGCCATACAGTGTAAATATCGTTTTCAAATGGATGGAAGTAGATTCAATGAATTAAACATACCATCTTCTTAATAGGCGCATTTTGTCGCTCTTCTCGCATATGCTATATTTACTACATGCATCGCTCTTCTCGCATATGCTATATTTACTATATGCCTACCTCGTTCTTCTCGCATATGCTATATTTACTATATGCATCGTTCTTCTCGCATATGCTATATTTACTATATGCATACATCGTTCTTCTCGCATATGCTATATTTACTATATGCATCGTTCTTCTCGCATATTACTGCAAAATATCAGGGAGAACAAGAGCAAGCTTTATGCTGCGTCGTACTCTCAGGAAGCTTCGTGAGTCACTTGTCTACGGCTATATATAATCACGTAATAATTATGGCTATATATAATCATATATAAATAATATAAAATATTTTAATATTAGGTTCATTAGGGCTTTTTCTAAAAAAAATTCTCCAGCCGGAACTTTTTATAATTTAATTGAACATCCCAGGGCTTGTCAATGGTTTAATTTTTATCGAGCTGATGATCTTATGAAATGTTAATGATGGTAAACTTTAGGCCCTTGTATGTAGGCCCATTCACAATGTATGTGAATGTTTCATGCTTGTTTCACCTGTTTTTCTGCGTTTGTTTTTCATTATTAATAGAAGATTTTTATTGGTCGCTAACCATACATACGAGTGAGCTCTAAACATTTTTAATCGAAGATCTGATTGATCACTAACCACGCAAATTAAAACTGAAAATTATGGACTAACGATCTTATTGGTCACTAACCATACGATATGGCCTTAACCATTATAAATCGAAGAACTAAATGATCAATAACAATTCGATTGAGCGCTAATCATTATGAATAAAATATCTTACTGTTTACTAACCATACTATTGAGCACTAAATAACCAGCATGAATCCCATTGATACTGCAAAATGAGAAGCAAAACAGCACATGGGCCATTCAGAGCAGACACTATCATTTTGTACGTCCCATTTCATATAATTTTGTACATCCCTTCACGTTAATTTTCTTGTGCGAATACCTCCAAGATAATTTTTCCTTAAAGCCGTCAAATGATAACGATGTATATGTGCATATACATAGGTACAAGTTTCGACCCTCTAATTGGAACCGATAAGATATGCGCGTATGTATTACAACAGCTCACTGGTGTTGCTGGTGCGCCAGGTGCAAATCAAGTATTGCTGTATAGCAGAGTTTAATGAAGAATTTTATATATTTGTATTTTTAATTGGCTTCTGTTGCCTTTACTTGTGCTTCCTGCTGCGAGATAAGAGAAAGACCATATCAGCCGTGCTAAAAACTTGTACCGGACTTGAGTATCGTAGTAACTACTTGAGATGTCAACGAGGTATGTATCACTGCCGTACAAAACGTGGTAAGCGTTCCAAGGAGTAAATAGGAAAATATGTTCTTAAATAAAAAAATTAAAATATCTGTATATGGCTTTATTCAATCCTACTTAGAAATCTCGGCCATTTGATCAGCGTCCAACCATCGTCGGTAAGATGGATGATGGACATGCATACACAACTGTAGGCAGCTGTGACAACATCCTGTGGCAGTTGCTACTGCACTGCATGCGAAAAAAAAAGACAGAAAAAACTCCAACTACAATCTAAATATTCGTAGATGAAGATGAAGACTAAATTGTTCACCAATTGAAATATAACCAGAATTTTTTATTTACTTCGTATTCACCAATTGCAATATAACCAGAACCTTTTCTTTTTATATTATTGCATTTATTGATCTCATTTGAATCATTTTGTCGTTAGGCAAGCCACGCATTAAAGTAAGTTGACACATTTTTCACTTCAATCAATTCCAATCAACATTATTTCGTTCAATAACCTAACTGACCTGAAGCTCTACCCTCACCACATCAGATAGCGCGACCTGAATCACATCACAATGCATTGCACTTCATCACACATAACCGTACACCACCAACGGGCATCACACTTCACTCACTCCCTCACTCACTATATTTCACCTCATCACCTCGCTCCTCAATGCACAAAACATCACCACACATCACCGCAGCGTTCCACACACTCCACAACACATCACCATCATGCACCACACTTCACTACACATCACTATCGTGCACTATACACTTCACCTCCGTTCCCTACACAAAACAATAATGCTCCACTCTTCACTACACTTCACCAAAATGCTCCACACTGCACCATCATGCTCCGCACATCATCATGCACCACTCATCACCACATGCACCACACTTCACCATCAAGCACCATACACCATCATGCACCACTCTTCACCACACATCACCATCGTGCACTACACATCAGCGCGTATCGCAGCGGCGGCGGCGTTATCAGCGCAGAGCGGCGCAGAGCTGCTGCCCGCATCGTCTTATCAGTTCCTTTGACGGGCGCCCTGAGATAACGCCCCCGTGGTGGTGGTGTTGCAGTGGTGGCAGAGTGGTGGAGTTGATGTGGTGGCGGTGGCAGAGAGGTGGAGTTGGAGTGATGGTAGAGGTAGAGAGGTGGTGTAAGTCGTGTAACCGTGTGCTGGTACCTGGTAGTAGTGGCAGAGTGGTGACGGCTGCAAAGTGGTGTTGATGACGGAGTGGTGTTGGGGTGGTGGTGACATGATGGTGGTAGAGCTGTGCAGCTTATAGCACAAATGATTGTAACTAAGATGCTTTTATTATATGCTGCGGTAATATTGTGCAAGTGTTTCGTAATTGCAATAAAATTGTGCCAACTCCTAGATACAGATAAGCCGTCAGTGTGAACGTGCAGACGATCTTTCTTCTTCAGCTCTCGGCTCACTTGAGATAACAGTCTTCTCAGCCTCGCGTTTTATCAGTAGTAAGAAAACGCAAGATATGATGGCTGAATATGGCAGTGCGTAAAACCAATGATACAAGAGTTAGTGTGAAGATAAGAATCTTGAACCTGTAGTGATAACGCACGCTATACTCCTATACTGTCTTGATCTTCTTGACGCGCACAACTTTTCTTCAGTTGGGAACGAATGATATGTATATTTTTGAGTTTAAAGATTTTAACGCCAGATTTTTTCGAACAATTTTCAATCTTCTTTCAATATTTACATGTTAGCATGGTGATACATTCATTTTAACTTCTATAAGTTTAAAGATGTCTTGCAAAGTATCAATGATGCAACGCGGGTAACCTAATGTTCGCCCAACACTGCAAAAAATGCCGCCTCAGTTGCCTGGCTCCTCCCCTCCACAGCAACATCACGTCAGTTGTATGCTGACGTTTGTGGTGTAAGGTTAGCGCGTTCTAGTCAAGGGACCACCAGCTCGTCCCACTCCCTGGGAGTGTCGATCGATATCGTATGATTCTTCTGTGTGTTGTTAACTGAGGTATTTTTGATGCTGTTAAACCAAGACCACCTGGTGACTAGGCTATACGGGATGGACTCCAAGGACCGTAATTGGATTCTTCAAGGATTGATTCAGAACCCGTGAGTTTAAGTTATACATAGCTTCTATTAAACTTCGAGAAAAGGCTCCTGGTAGTGTTTTCAATGCCTCCCCCACATTTCATTGCGGCTATTGCCGCGCTATCAGTGTTAGCTGATAGATCGATACCTTACTTGTCGTTCTGCTGATATCAAACGTTGAGGATGATAAGAAATCATTCGCTTGCTGCAATGCTGAACGAGAAAACGCTCATTCTCTTTCTGTGCTCAGGGGTGCGTTATCTAACGCTTATCTCGTCCTGATAGCGAGATTCGTAGACATTGCTTACGAATATATACCTACATGTCGGTTTCACTCTACCTACTCTTTCTGTAGTGCGATGCAACCTTTTCCTTAAACCGTAAAAGTTTTCAGAAAAAAAGTACTTTGAAGAGTTTGTTTTGCTTTCATTTCATCTGTAAGTATTGGTTAAGCCTACGTGTGGCGGTGTGGTGTAGTTACCGTAATGTTGAAATTGTCATTGGGCATTGGGCAAAGTATAGGTTAGGTTCTAACTTCCAACTGACATAAAATATTTTCACGTGATGCAATTTGTTCTATGAGTTATATTATAAAGACTGCGTGTAATTTTAGTTTCTTTGCATTTGATTCACTGCTTATAGCGAAATTATATTCGATAAATTTTATTAAAGTAAAGATTTTACCAATACATTTTTTGACTGAAAAACTGAACATTTTCTGACTGGTAAAACCACCAGTTGTTATGTGCGAAATTGCTTAAAATCTATATTTGTTCCAAAACCTTGATAGCAAAATCTTCAGTCCTACCATTTTGCAAAAATACCATCAGCGAATCTCCCTAGTCCCTGGATTTCAAGACGATAATTACAAGTTTGTTGCACGTCTTGTTGAAAAAAAAAAAACATTTGTTTACTATAAATTCATGTTTAATTTATTATGAGAATGCATCTTGTATTCTCGATAATCTATCATGAAATATTTAATGGTTGCAACGCTTGTCTTGCATGCATCACCGCCGTGACGCACGCCATCTTTTGTGCTTCTGTCAAGACGACACACGACGTCTCTTCTTGCAGGTCAATGTTTCGACATCCACGCTCGCCGTACGTGCACATTCACGCACCGTGTTCATCTAAAGTCTAAACGACTTGAATTATTAATCTGTCACGTTGAACGCTAACTGAATAATTAGACACTCGCGTTGAACACGATTTTTAATGAACTGAATACTTATTAATTAACTCAAAGTGAACCTTTACGGACCCTAATCCAGCGTTAAAAATACAGATATATTTTTAAATACCAATGAATTGATGAAGATAACATTTATCAGCTGCGTGTTTATTCATAGAAAGCACTAATTTAATTCAATAATTCATGTGTATTAAACTGTGGTATTTATAGATGGTTTTTCACCTGTATATCATTCCATGGCCTTTCGATCAGCCGAAATATATCTCGATGTTTATGTAGAATTGCCATTCAGTTGAAAAGCTCAAACACTTATTTTCTTGGGACGGATACAATAAGAATATCTTGAATTTTCTTTGTTTTCTCACCAAAAAATTCTTAGTTCCTTAGTTGCCAATTTAGGCAATCGACTGATAAATAAAATTTATGTCATTGCGCTAATGCGGCCGAATCCGCACTCGTCTGTTATTTTTTCGTAATTTATTAAAAGATAATATTGATAAGTTTTAGATATTTAGCATCTTATATATATGATTGCCGAGGAAACTTTTCACGCAATGTTAGTGCATTGGGCTTTTCTACTACCATTATAAAATAATTATTCATACAGAATATATCTTCAATTACTAGGAATATTAATTAACAACGAATCGGACACAGTGTTTCGCTACATATTTATAAAAACTATTTTCCTAAAGGGTATTTGTCAAGTAGTTGAAATCGAAAAAAAATCTACGGGACGATACATACTCATTTCAGTGTTGGTTAACATTTATTGGACTCGTTTACACAATTTTCATCATGCGAGATCTTATTTTATTCTTTAAAGCTTCTAAAATAATTATTCATGTTATCATCTGTTGTGTACGTGGTCCATCAATTGAATTGAAGTATCAATGCACCGCTTGAACTCCTTTAATCAATTTTTACGTTTTATTCGTTGATGAAGGCTATGATTTTCATATAACTAATTTATGTTCATCAATTAAAAAAACTTCCATGTGACGTAGTTTGAATGATCTTTTTTTTCTTCAATTTCGTACTGTTTATTTTAGTCTGTCGTCGTGTGAGGGTCAAGATTGAAAAGTTTATTTAATATGTACTCCTTTTTCAATAATTTTATTCAAAAGTGAAATCTACTGCGATGCATTGTATTTTATCCCGACATTTACTAATTCATAAACGACATCAAAATAATTTAGCATCGCATTTCGTATTCTGCTACAAAGAATGACAAGAAAATTGCAATTGAAAATGCATCAATTATCATAATTATTACCTATCTCATAATTTACTTGACAGTGAATTGACAGTAAATCCTGCTTAATGGTTGTAATTTATTTCAAGATTTGATGGATGAGCTGAACATACACATTAATGGCCGGATGGTTCGATTCTTATTCATTTATTAATTCATTCATACATTAATTCGAGCGTGAATGCAAATCTCCTGACCAGTCCGTTGTTTGAAACGAACAAACTCGTAAAACTTTATTCATTTATACATTCATTCATGTTTGATTTATGCTTACCAGTTGCTATCTTCAGTTCATCAATTCTTATTGATTTTGGACTAGATAAGTTTTGTTTATTTTATTGGTAATATTATACAACATTTTTTTATTGTTGTTGCTTTTTTGTATTTAACATTTTGTAATCTGTAATTTTGACATTTTTTGCAGAATTAAACCTCACAACAGTCAAGCCGAACCCTCCTCTCCTGTGAGCACGCAGAAGGCACCACAGAACCCAGAAGTCGTTCCCTCCATAGCTACTGAAGAAGACGATCCTACCATACAAGGGCCTTCCTTTCCTCCCAGTCACTCCACATCGCAAAGGACAACAGAACCAGGTTCGACATCTCCTAACATTGCTGCTGCAGCAGCGACCGCCTCCGCGGGTGCCAACAATTCGTCGTCATCCACAGCGAAGACATCGTCGGATGCATCCAAGATATCTGATGACGTGAGTGGACTTTTCGCTTAGTGGGTACTGTTTCGTTCAAATTGATAAGTCACAAATCGGGTATTTCCTTCAATTATATAATTAAATGCCCTCAAGTCTCCTTATTGATCTGCAAATGAGCATGATTATCCTGGCTGTAGAAACTATAAACGTGATATTGTTCATATCAAAACAATTTTTATTCGCAGGAACACGATGATAAACTCAGCCGCTCTCCGGTGTCTCCGACGGTACTAAGGCAACCAGCAGTCGAATTCCCTGCCGGCGACGAAAATCCTGAAGTTTCCATTCCTTCCGCGAAAACCAAACTCAAATCGTCACAAATCTCCAATAAACAGTCGTCCGTTGCTCACCAAAGACTGTCTTTTGTTAACGATCTGAAGTCTCTGGGTATCGTTCTGCAGACGTCGGAGTCTGATCAACATTCGTCTGGTTCCCTCTTCAAATCATCAGTTGAAAACCTCGGACTATCAACTCCTGACCATAGCTTAGCCAGGTCCAACTATAGATCAACCAGTTCGGATCCTAAAACAACAGTTGCCGACTTCAAATCATCATTTTTGAACGCCAAGTCAACAAGTGACGAGCACGGATCACCAGACCAAGAGCCCCGGTCATCAGGAGAGACTTCCGACGACCCGTCGAGGTTCGAACTCGCGGCGACGTCGGGAGGTCGAGACGAGGCCAGCGTCCCGACTTGTCGCGAGAGTGCGAGTCCTCTCGACATGAAGCAAGAACGAGGGGAGTCTCCAGCATTAGAAGCTGCAACGAAAGCCTTCAACCTTGCCTGCACCAGCGCCCTCTCCAACGCCGTTTTAAGGTGACTAAACTGTAGTCTGTAGCTTTTTCGACGTCTGTTTGCACCTAAGTCTGAACTTTAGCTGGAACAAACGTTTGAATTCATTAAACATACCTTGGCTTAAACCTAACCTTTAACATTCATCTTCCGTCATATCGTCGGTGGGATCCCTAGCCTATACCTTCAGTTCAATTAGTTTCAAATTATCAGCCATTGGAATCTAATGACTGAATTTAAAATGTCGACGTACCATGGACTTCCTCCTCATCCTGTGCCGTCTTCCCCCTCGGCGTTTTCTGAGTTCTATCTATTTCTTCGCTCGTTCCTTTTTTTTCCCCTCCCCTTCCTGATGTTACTTCTTTCTTTTCTCACCTTTTTCTTTCTTAACCTCATTTCTTTTCGCATTCCTTCTTTTCCTTTCTTTTTTTCACCCTTTCCTTCCCTCAACCCATTTTTCATCAAATTTTCTGATATCCACAGATTTTTTTTTTTGCATCTATCCTTTTTTGCCGCTCCATTATGGTCTGTCATCGCTTTCTTTTGTTGTTTAATTTACCGACCGTTTCCTTCTTACTCTCCGTGGCCAAGAAACTAAGTCCTAACTGATCATCTTCACTTTAACCTTAGCGTCAGACCTCTGGTAACTTGGCGCTAGCAAAAATAGGTTATGTCACTAATGCATTATTCGTGTGGATATAAACCACTTCGGTAAAACGATAACTAACTTCACACGTTCCCATTATCTTGACTATGAATATAAAATTTCGTCACAGTCGCTAGGGGCTTGAATAGTTAGGTTTTCAAGAGTAAACAATTATTTTCGAGGGCTGCAATCGAAGCTTTGTTCTTGTTTCTGAAGGGGACGTTTATACACAAGACCACCAGCTTTAACACCAGCTTTAGACATCTCTTGGTTCAACGCTCCGCGCATCATCTGAGTTCACAGATGTTTCGTTGTGTATCAACAACTGCGCAAATGATCATATCCAGCTGAACACACGTGCATCATTAGCACAAACATGTACTAGCAGCTTCTCTTTGGTAGTATATATTCAGTGCATAACTGTCAGCTCTCAATCTCGGAAATTCGCACGATAAGAATATAAATCCCGGAAAATCGTGCACAATATTCACGTCGGACGCCAGAAGTAATCCAATTCCGTTTTAGGATATTTATCAATAAATTAGATTTCATTATGTCTGATTTATTTATATTTTTAGAATAAAAATTATTAGAAGTATCTATATCAGTGTGGTGAATTTTGTGCCGTCTACTTGCAAGTGATTTATAGGACATCAAAATTTACGCACTTGCCCTGTACTTCGGGATGGGCTGGTGGTGGTCAGTCCAACTGTTAGGGCAGATAAGGTGCACTGAGCAAGCGACCAACCATCTTTTATCTCACTGTCAATACTGTGAGTTCAACTTCAGTCTCGGCCTCTCTATTTTAAAGCCGATAAACCTTGTTCCGTTTGTGTATTAAAAGGGACAGAAAATACATGACAGAGTGTGTTGACCGATTAAAATTGTGCTTAAATTGCAAAATGGTGTTGGTGACTGACGTTACATTTCATTGGATGTGCAGAGTGCAAGATGTAGGAAGTGCTGCTGAAAAAGCTTGTTGTCTTATCTGTAGGGTTATCGAAGTACATGGCAGTGCAGGTGCCCTCAGCTCTCGCTTATCAGCAGCCGTTATTGTTAAGAGATAAGCATTGACGTGTCTCTATCAGCACTCGCTAGCTTAGATCTCTCTGGCTCGCCGCGAGTGCAACAGCTTTATTCAATCATTTGAGTCCTGCCTTATTTTCTGTTGTTAGTTCCGTGATATTTACTGGTAATTATTTTATTTGAAGATTTTTGTGCTTCGCGAGTATTTCACAATTGAAGAGGACGAAGTGAATCTATAATTACTACATGTTTTCCTGAGGCTGTCGTACCCTCATATTATACACTTGTGAGGTTAAGGTTAGTACTGTTTCTATACTAGCACTTACACGAACTTTGGTTGTAGTTATATAGATTGTCAGAAATTATGTTAAGTTACAGTGGATTCAAATATATTTATTCCCTCTCAAGGTTTTCACGTTCATGTTCTAGCTTTAGCCAACTTTTTAATAATTAGTATAGCCAACTACCCACTATAAAATTGTCACTATCGTATTTTCGATCACTACAAACTATTCACCAGTCAACCATTGAATTGCCGGTACTTACTTAACAAATACCAGTGTATCTACGGGCATGCAATTTAATAGTAATATGTGAATAAGTAATAATTAATGAAACGTAAAAATTTCCCTCCAGATTAATGACCTTGAAACAACGTTAATTGCTAATTTATTTTTCGAAACTAAGTTTAGTAAACGTTCTTTAAGCGTAGGACGTGTTATTTAAACGTAACGATTTGAACGTTATTCAAACGTAAGATACGCTACTAAAACGTAACGATTTAAACGTTATTTCAACACAAGATACGCTACTAAAATGTAAAGATTTAACGTTACTTCTCATGTTTGTACAAAACTACATTCACATTTACCTCGCAATCTCTCCTGCCTCCCCCAGCCTGCAGCGGCTGACCGGCACCAGCAGCAGCAGCAGCGGTCAGGACGCTGACGCGGCGCAGCAGCATCTCTCAGCCATGCTACAGGGACTGCCTCTGTTCATGCAGGGGCTAGGCAGGCTCGGAGCTCCTGGTGAGAATTATTTATTTATTGTATCATCCTTTTATTTATTGTATCATTTAATGATATTCGTAGATTTGGAGCTCCTGGTGAGAATTATTTATTTGTTGTATCATTCTATGATATTCGTAGACTTGGAGCTCCTGGTGAGAATTATTTATTTGTTGTATCATTCTATGATATTCGTAGACTTCGAGGTCCTGGTGCGACTCTTTGATTTTGGAATGTTCCGCCAGCGTGTTTTCCTGAGGAGTACGTTTAGATATCTAATTATATGCATCAGTTAATTGTTATAGAAAGCAATGTTAGAAATATTTAAGTATTTAGATCCTAGCCCTGCCACAGACACTGAATATTTAGTGAAAGAAAAGAATAGAAGTGTCGGCACTGAAGACATTGGCCCATGGCCTGTTGCCGATTCTTGTACCTTTCGTGACTTGATTCACAAGGGATCCGGCCTTTGGAATCCGATCTTTACATAACTATAATGCGCTCTTAAATGGTTTAAAAATACAATTATATCATAAGCAGAATTTTATCATATAAGTGTCATTGATAAGAATCCTTGTCAAAATTATGAATCAGGCATGAAGCTTCACTTTTAAATAGTGTCCTGTACTATCATTGATATATTTTATGGTTTGAGTGTACAGCTGCCTGCCCACACCAGTTCAATATGTAGTTCTGAAATCTGTTGTCTGTTGCCTTATCTCAGTATCGTCTTAATTAAATAATCGGCGCTTCATTACCATCAATCAATTCTATCTTATTTCTCTAACGTATAGGCAGTGAGCGTCTGCATCTTGGCCAGCAAACTGAAAAACTAGATGTTTTCTGAGATATATATTATAAAAGTCGTTTTATAATACAAAAAATATTATATATTATAATAGTCAACATAAAATGTATGCTTTTTCATCGTGCCTGTGTTGATGTGCTTATTTGTGTGCAGCCGTGAGTGGCCTGCCCTTGCCCAGCGGCAGCAGTCCCCCTGGTAGCTCCCTGGCCGCGGGGGGCGGAGGCATTCAGTGCTCGTGCGGTATACGCTTCAGCTGCCGCAGCAACATGGAGGCGCATAAGAAGTTCTACTGCACGCACCAGGCTGCCGCTGCTGCAGGTCAGAGTCTTGACATTCTCAGTGGTGATGATCCTTTGTATTAGATACTTCGTGTTAGATCAAAAATATTAGATATTAGATCTTTCGTGTTAGTACAAATTTTTAATATATTAATGTTAAATATATTTTGATAAATGTATACGATGATGTTTCTGACTCTGCAGTGGAGAACGTGAGCGACACGAGCATCTCGAGAGACGCCGCTGAAGGCAGCGGCGACGAGAAGTATGTGCTTCGCTGCACGCAGTGTCCCTACAGCACCACCCACAAACTCAGCCTCAACGGCCACATGAACATGCATACCGCCTCAGCCGCCGCCCCTGACGACAGCCATGTACCGGTGCTGTCACCTAAACATAAGACTACATGTGCTCCCATCGATGCTCGGGCTATGGACCGATATTGCACCGACTGTGATATTCAGTTCTCTTCATTAAAGACATTCAAAGTACACAAAACTCATTATTGCCAAACAAGACACGTTGTCAAGGCCAATAAAAGCCCGATAAGGGACGATCAGAGTTCATCTACTATCCTGAACTCGAGTGCGTCAGGGCAACCTATTTTGCTTCTACCAACTGATCCCGCGCTTCTAGTTCCATATTCTTTGCTCATCGGCGCCAGTCTCTTGCCTTCACATATTCTTCCTCAACAAGGAGCTGCAGTTCTAACCAGGGACGGACAAATTCATCCTCTGTCCCTTGCTCATTTGCTGGGCAACACTGCACCAGCCGCGGCCCCTCCACTTTTGTCGCCACCAAACTTTAATATTTCTGCGTCTGTCCCCCCAGTCTCCACAGCCTCCACTATTGATTCCCCTCAAGTCTCCCCACGCGCTGCTAATCACAGTCAGGGAAGCGCTAGCTTGTCGGAAGAATCGAATCCTACTAAGCCTGTTAAAATGGAGTCCCATTCCTCTTCACGTGAACCCGCCACTGCTGTCAAACGCCGAGGGGACGGCGATTGTCCCCTTGATTTAACCACGAAGAGGTCGAAGTTGTCCATAAAAACTGATCTATTAAGTGACGAAGAAAAGGAAAATCGTGAGGTGAACACACCTTCCCTGACAAACTCCCCCGCTACCGTCAGAAACGGGTCATCCAGCAGCGGCAGCGCTGCAGGTGACACTGAATCGAAACTTCTGTCGTCTCCTCGAGACTCACCCTTGGTGGATGAGACTGCAGGATCCACCCTACGTTCCCCACGTCCTGCCTCAGCCGCCCCAAGTCTCTCTTCCCCTCGTACTGCGTCTCACGAGTCCCCGCGACCTTCGACCAGCTCTGCAAATCGCTCTTCGAGTCGCCAGTCTCCTACATTACCTCACACATTATCGCAAATCTCACCGGGATATTCGGGTGTTTTGGGCGGCATTGAAGGCTTGGCTTCTCTCCCTTTCACTGGTCTTCAGTACCTGCAAGGCCTTCAGGGCGTCGCACCGGAACTGCTTTTGAAAATGTTCAACGGTATGGTCCCTCCAGTGCCTCCGCCGATCACACCTGCGTCAATTAAACAAGGAGAAGCGCGTTGCAATGAGTGCAATATCACGTTTTACAAAGAAGAAAATTACCTTGTACACAAGAAACATTACTGCGCTGCTAGAGATAAAGCAAATGATGAAGACAGGCGGTCTTTAGATGGTCAAAGTCCAGGAAGTAGATCTAGAGGTAGCATCTCGCCTCCCAATCGAAGTATCAAGACCGAAGGCCCTGCGGTTCCCGCTGCGCCTCTTAGAGATTTACCTAAGACGAGTAAAAGCCTGGGTCAGTTTGTGTGCAATCCTTGTGGCATTAAATTCACTACTCCTGATAACCTGAGTGCTCATCAAACTTATTACTGCCCCAAGAGAGAAGGCTCGACACCCGAAGAGGGTGTCACTAAGGGCATGTGGAGATGCCCGAGATGTCGTGTTGCAATGCCCGAGACCCTTCAAGCTGCTCATCAGTGCGTGAGTCTGGGCAGTTCGTCGGCACACGGCTGGAAATGTCCTTGCTGTCCCACGCTTTCTCCCACCGCCGCGGCCGCTCAAAAGCATCTCGAAACTCACGCTGGGATCAAAGCGTTTAGGTGCACAATCTGCGGCTACCGCGGTAATACGCTGCGGGGCATGAGGACGCATATCAGAATGCATTTCGAGAAACGGACAAATGATCTCCAAGAGGAAAATTTCATTGAATGTATCCTAGAAGAAGACGAACGACGATACAGAATGAATAGCTCTCAGGAGATGAGAAGGAATCTCTCTGATCATCAACAAGCCCTTTTAGAAAATTCTCCTCTAGCGGCTGCGATCCTCTCGAACAGTGGTTCATTGATGCCAGAGGGAAGCGAACCTGCTCTTTCTTGTACCATTTGTCCCTACGTCACCAATCACAGGGATAGTTTTATCAAACATTTGGCACTAGTTCATAAATTAGGCGTTGAATTAAAAAATTTCCTCGAGAGTCAAGCTGGTCCTTCTAAAGCAAGAGACAGTATCGAAAATCCCGAATTGAATTGTTCTTCGGTGCCCGGAAGTTCTCCTCCAATTTCTTCCTTTAAACTGGAACCTGAAGTTAAGCTGGAGATAGCAGACTCTGAAGAAGATAGCCAGCCTAAATCTCCAGCAATGGACGACTCCAAACGGGCTGGCAACGATTCCCCTGTCTCCAGCCATCACTCTGTTTCTCCCCCTTCTAGGCCAGGATCGACAAGCTTACCAGCATTACTTCAGGCTCGCCCTCTATCCGTGTCCGCTGCTCACCATTGCCACGCCTGCAATATATCTTTTTCTCAGAGAGAATCTTATCAGGCTCATAAAACATTCTATTGTACACGTCAACAATCAAGCACTCCGCCTGAAACTGCGGTCCAGTGAGACTCACAACAAAATGCGATACCTACCCCATGAGCGCTGAATCAAAAAGGATTATAAGTAATGGTTTGTTTGGGAGCATGTGCAGTTAGAAATGATTGTTATATGATAATTTGTCCAATCGATTTTTGAGTGATCATAGACGATGTGTCAGCCGTAATGTGTTTCAGGGCGAGAATTTATCTAACATATGAGACCGGACCCGCTACATATCTGCTCAAGCGCTGTGTGCTCTAACTATAACTTACCTTTAGTCTGAAATCATGACTGACGCTAGCTCATAAGTTCGAATATAATAATGTTAACTAGTCTGCTCCTGTTGTTTTGCGTGTACTTCAGATTAATGAGCGATGTAATTGTAGGTATCAAATTTTATGCATCATTTAATGGGAATTTCCCATTAGAAATGATTCACCTCTTTTTTTTGTGATGTAATTCTCTGAATGTTATTTCCATTACTGGCGCGACGAAGCGCTTTCCTGGTAAAGAAGGCTGCTTGCCTCTCAAAAGATATATGAACTTCGGCACAAATATGGCTAGGTTAGAAGTCACAAAACTAAAATTTGTTAGTCAATAACAAATTGAGACGCGTTCGATAATTTCACATAATTTTTATATCATTAATGTTTTATCTTTTAGGCTGCCAATTTTTATTTATATGTATAAAATTCATTTGTTAACGTTGCAAATTGATTCTACAAGGGAAATTTTGCACTTAAGACAGCGAGACAAGTATTTCTACATGTCATAAACGGCTATAGTTAATCGGAGATGAGTTGTTTCAGTTTCGAATGACATTTGACTTACCTACTCTCTATTTGACAGGGTGATGCCAATTGTTTTTAATCAGGTTTTGTTCTTTCATCGCAAAAACTTTTAGGCATTTTTTCACTTAATTAGAATCTATAAAAAGAATTTATACAAATTTATAATATCTTTATTGGTCGTTCCTGAATCTGTTTTCATAAGTAAATACTGGAAAATATATCATACAGATAAGTTATGAATTTTTCTCTGATTGATTGAAAAATAATTTAGTATCAATCACTCTAGCATGGTTCTTCAATATAAAAGATGCTTGAATTATGTTCTGGTATATTATATCTCAAAGCGTTACGAGGAAGATGTTGTAAGCCTTTTGTTTGTAAATAGTTATCCGAGGTGAAAATAATGATTGTTTCTTGCTCCATGTTCATCTCGATCGGAAGTTTATTATTAAAAACGTGTGCCATAAACTTGTGCTATCCTGTATGTACTTTATAAATCTGCTAAAATCTAATTGTTGTCGCATATTTTCGTACCTTTCTTTATCCTTCGCCTGTTTTGTTCAAAATATTTTTTCATGCGCATTACCTTAAAACTTGGAATCATATTTCAATTCAATTTCAGAAAGTAACGGGATTTTTTTTAATTTTCTTTGCCTTCGTCAGTCGAAATGTTCTTCTATTGTAATATCCATTGCGTTATCCTGTTGGATCTTAATTAAGGCAGGTCAGTGTATTGAATAAATTGTTTGTTTGAAGCATCATTAATCCACAGTCATTGAATGCTTTTACATGCTTTCATTATGCATTGTGTAAACGGTATTGAGAAAATGCGGATTTCTACACGCTAGTGAACTTGTGCGTAGTGGCATTATCGTGATTAAAAAAAAAAAGTTTTTTACTAAGCAATAATGGGAGAGTTCTTGGTCGATTCATAAAAAAAATTATCTCCTTCCTTCTCAAACTTAATACACATCAATCTCAAGTAGGCAATTGGTTAACATCACCAAAGTTGAAGCGGAGAGTTGGAGGTTCGAAACCCTCAACCAGTTGTGAAAATTGTGTGTTGCGTCTCGAGGTGACCGGAGGGTTTAAAACAGCAAATTTGCAACAACACTCCAAACTGAAGACCCGTAGTCAGCTGTTTTATGAAAAATCGACATGGCCTAATTTTCAATATCATCCTATCGACATTTCTCTGAACTCTCCAAGGAACTCAATCGCAATTATTGAACGTGGTCTGCTCATAACACTTTCAATTCTTAACGGATCATCGAGTTGAATTATTTCCTCTTGGTGAATAAGTAAATTCACAAGTAATGCCAAGATATTAGCAATATACTGATGCGATTCAACCACATACAGGTTTTGCACAAATGGTTCGCATTATTAAATAGCATGGCATCCTAAACCCAAGATCATATTAATCATGAACTGGAATTGAGTCCTGCAAAGAAATTTGTATGAAATTTGAAACATGCTACTTTACCAAAAAAGACAAAAATCATGTTAAAGAGTTTGTATTTAATTTTTTTCAATTATTTTTTTCAAAGTTGCTCATAATCATTTTCTCTTACATGGATCGAACCATGGTTGAACTATAGAACATAGAAGACTTCGGAGGTTGAAGGGTAAAGTTTTAATTTCGGGGTAATAAAAATTGCGTCATAGTTATCAGAATCTAAAAATTACCAGCTGGTCGATTTTGTGTTGTTACACGAAATTGAGTAAATCCTCGTCATCAATAGGTTAAATTAACAATGGGAGCGGTCCTAGGAGCTTGTGGAGCAGCACAGGTAAGGTGGTACGCTACAGCTCTTTGTATTATTTTTTATCAAAAATGTTGATGAAATCAAAACTCGGGTGTCGGGTCATAGCTAGCTACTCATACATGTCCACTCTGTTAAGTGACCCGTAAATATGACAAAAATACTAATAGCATGAAGTTGATATGTATATTTCTACCTTATAATGGCACCTTCCAAATTTATTCAGGCAAAGAGGAGAAAATTGGCCTATTTTACAACACTTCTCTTTAACTTCACTTCTTGTTTGTTTGTCTGTCTGGCTGTCTTTCTGTCTGCTATAAATCTTATAGGCCTAATCGATATTTAACACACTTCTACTGTTCTACCTGTCCAATCGATCTGAAATTTGGCACACTTGCGTAAAGTTGGAGACAATGCATGAATCAATGGACAGAATAAAGAATGTTATAAATTTAAATTTTTTTTCATTATTAGGTACAAAAAAAGTAAAATATAATTTCGTCTGCTACAAATCTTATCTAATCCATATAGCTATGGCACAATTTGACCTGTCCAATTGATCTGAAATTTTGCACAATTGCATAAAGACAGAGAAAATACATGAATCAATTGACAGAATACCTAAATAATTTTGAAAATTTGCAAAATTTTGATAGTAGGGTAAACGTGGTAGGGTAAGCGCGGTATATTCCGACACTTTAAGGACGCATCGAGAAATGAAAAACTATAAAAAAAAACGTATGCGTTACGTAAGTTCTGTTGCCTTCACATTACTCTCAAAACACTTCACTACGCGTCAGCAACAATGAAACGTCACAAAATGTTGCCATATTTATTAAAAAGCCTTTAGAATGGAAACTTACCAAATCCCTATATTCCAACGTCCGTCACTTTGTGTGGCAACATCCGACACGTGGTGAGTCGTATTGCGTCAGCGCTTCAAATTTAACTGATACGTATTGCCGACATCCACGTGTTCGAATTCCGTTTGCTGTGTGAGCTGTATTGGGATACAACACGGCTTTGAATTAGAACACTAACGAATATTGAACACTACTTAGTTACGTTTTAATTAACAGCTATTAGGCTGTTAATTAAGCAAATTTCAATTTTTGTACAAAGCTTTGAACAATCTGTGTGTGTCCAATTCAAGTTGTGTCGGAATTAGTTTTCATGTGTCGAAATCCAACATCTCAACTTAATCATCTATTAATTTATTTACGACTTGAAATCAGCGAATACAAGTATACTTAGCGTAGTCCGGTGTTTTGTGAGTCACGTGAAGCCAACAGAAGTTACGTAACGCATACAGTTTTTTTTATAGTTTTTCATTTCTCGATGCGTCCTTAATGTGTCGGAATATACCGCGTTTACCCTATCTTAAAAAATTTGTGAAAAATTTTTTTTTCAATATTTGAAAATAAAATTAGAAATTCATTGTACATGTGTAACATCCAAGACACTGGATTGTTCAGAAGTGTTGTCTTTAATAAAATACCAATACTTGAAAAAAACTTTGAAAAAAAACATGTTTTTCTTGTGGACTAAAAAGTAGAAAATAAATTATGGCTCGCCCCAAAAAACGTGCCAGGCATATTTATGATGGTTGCAAAAAGCACACAACACAATAATTTTGGAAATTTGATGGTGAACGTACAGCCCGACCCACGTTTTTTGGGGTGAGCCATAATTTATTTTCTACTTTTTAGTCCACAAGATTGCAAGAAAAACATGGTTTTTTAAAATGTTTTTTTAAGTATTTTATTTCTACTTTTTAGTCCACAAGAAAAACGATTAAGACTTGATTAAGTATGACTTGACGTACGTATCGATGATACGCAGCGTCAGCGCCTGCTCGTCTATAACGTCAGCGCCCGCACGTCATACTATATATAAACCCTATACACTATATATATATACTTTACTCAATTAAGCTAATTTAGGTCTCTAATTGCTAGTTTTTATGATTGTATCTGAAATTGTTAGGCGAAAATAGCCTGCATGCCGAATTTCAGATCTCTAGAGCAATCAGAAGTGGGCTAATTTTCATTGTCAATGTTAAAAACAAACAAACGCGAAGCTGAGTAAAGAAAAACATGTTAAAAAGTAATTTTTAAACGCATATTATTTACTTGCAAATTGTAGAGATCAGATATGTAGGTACCTGCAATTTTAGGAAAGTTTTGCCCAATATTCCAGATTGGCATTTGGCACCATGCAACAGGTCAGCATTAAATTTGTGTTTGATAAGAATAGTATGCAAACAAAACTGGCAAGATTAAAAAAGTTTAAATCTGTATCAAGGTTGATTTTTTTTTGCATTAATTCTCCGGACAATGCATGCTTCAAATTAAAATTAGCTAATTAACAATAAATTTCCTACACCAATTTTTGGGAGCAGTATGATTTTTGGAGGTCCTGCAAGGCTGCAGAAATCTTGCTGCTCCAAAAAATGAAAAGTGATTGACAAGCTCTACCATTTACCAGGGCTGGAAAAGTCCTATTTTTTCTGAAATATTGCAGCTCTTACCTATATAGTAGGTATAAGTTATATCATATAGGTAATTTCAGTAGGTATGAAATGTTGCAGCTCTGTCATAAATTTTTGTTTGATTAAAAAAATTGTGGTTTGCACTTTGCAAACATGTTGTTGCATAAACCTTATGATCTTATAACCTTACAATGAATTTGGGACTTCCTAGTCCCCGGTCACTCTGAGTCTGATGCGCTGCCTTTGCTGTCCTCCTTCTCTGAGTTGTTGCTAGGCAGGTCACTCCACCCTCAGGTCCTGGATAAAACGTTGGACGTGTTCTGTCTATTTGCCTTCCTTAGGGCCAGCTGATGCAAGATGTTGTTGCTTGTCACTGGCTGAGGGTAGTTTCCCATTACTGGACAATCCAGGATCTTTCTCAACCAATTGTCCAGTTGTCTGAAATAAAATTTTCAACTTCTGCAATCCGCAGTATATATACTTCGAATGCCCATGCCTCCAGCCAAAATAACATGCAGAACGTAATAACAAGTCAACTCAAAATGTTCCCTCCATGAAGATTGCATAGTTACGGTTACGTCAGAGTGGTCATACTGCATTATCACTTGTTCAGTTGCTGCTTAATTGAAGACAAATGCTAGTGACTGTTTTTTGTATGGGACTTAGTATATGCATGGGACTTTGTAAATAACAAGTTTGTGAGTCATAAATGGCTTTTCACAGCCAAGATATGAAATTCACAGCTTGAAGAAATGGAATCATGGATGGCAAACTCATGAAGCCATGGCTCGAAGAAATGAAAAAACGGCTGGCCAACCCATGAAGCCACGGCTTGAAAAATCCAGTCCTGGCTTGCCAAGTAGATATATTCCATGCCTGCCATCTACCATATTTCATGCTGGTCTATGCTGATAGTCACCATTCACCACATCACTTGAGTTGCTGGCCATCAATAGAAACAATGTACCGTAGTATATAAATTAACAAACCACATTTTCTGAACCAAATCACGATGAAAACTGCTTTGTAGTCATCATGTAGTCCAGGTTGTATACTGTAAATTATGGAAAAGCATCTAAATTATGGAAAAGCATAATGTAGAAAAGCATCTTTTCTAGCTCTACATTATCCAGGGACCAAAAAGCATGGAAAACATCTACCTTTAGGACTGCCATTTCCAGAACCGCAAGATTTCCACCAGATGAATTACCTCCTATCTAATTGTTAACTAAAGTGCATGATCAGTCCGCAAGACTCTGAATGTATTAAAAATTTGTCATGTTGGAGCCGTGAGCTTTTGGAAACAAGTAGGAAAATTCCAATCCTGGGACCAGGTATTTAAAATATCTACCTTTCACTTGATGATTCCTACTTGATGAATTATCTCCTATTTAATTGTTATGAGAAGTGCACACATGGGCCACAAGATTCAAAATTTACTGAAAGTTTGTTATTTTGTAGCTGTAAAATTTCATTTATAAGTAGAAAAATTATCATCCTGCCATCAGCCACCTTGAACTTGAATTGGCATCCAAGCAGTCCATGGCCAATCACAGACTATGGATCTATCAATCAACTCCAACATCATTGTTTGTATCATCTGGACTCAGAATGATTTCATTGCTCGTGCCACTTGCAGAAATTATAATGCATGTATGTCTTTGCTGATCATCAGACATCAGCCAAATAGGTTGTAATGTACCATTGCTACCATATGGCTATTGAACTGTACAAATTGTAGTTCTGAGCACTGACCAGAATTATATGGTGTTTGATGACAAACGATGAGTTGTGTGCAGTTTCTGCTGAATGGCAACTTTTATATGTCATTGATGGTAGTTCAGAAAGTGCATGTATCTCATGAGTCATGGCAGGGATTGAATTCTGAAGTATTTAAGACTGAATCATCCTTCTGTGTTTTGGGCAACATTTTCAAACAATCCTATGATAAAGTAAGATTGATCATGCTATTGCCAACATTAAATTACAGCCATAGTGGCAAACCATAGATTTTTTGGAATTAGTTCATTTTTAATTTCCTTCCCTACTCCAGATTTAACCCAATTTCTTATGTATGATAATGCTGGTTGTCTCCATGATACTTTACTGGTTTACTTAAAGGACTCAAAATTGAACTTGAGGAAGAGTCCAAAAAGTCTATGCAATGACACTATGAATTACACTCTTGCATAGTTAAATTTAGGTTTACCAATGTATATATACACTAATATATATGATTGGGAGTCTAGAAACTGAACTAACATTTTTTTTAATTCTGCTGAATAATTTTTTGGGTGGTGTCAAGGAAGTGACTCAGCTTTATTAATATTAATTAGAATTCTAACCCAACTTTCAACTCAAGTTGCTAGAATTCAAAAAAAGTTTCACATGTCCAATTTTGTCCATTTTATTCTAGTAAAAATTTCACCTCTATATTTTTTCTATATTTATTTGCAGTAATGAAAATATTTCTTAAATGTATATAGTTGCCAGAAATATGATTTAGACCTAAATCAATCTCCTACATACAGCTGGCCATGTGTTGTGGGAGTGCTGCCTGCAGCCTGTGCTGCTCAGTGTGTCCATCATGCAAGAACAGCTCCTCGTCACGCATCATGTATGCCATACTCCTGCTGCTCTCAACCATTGTGGCTTGCATCATGCTCAGCCCTGGCTTGCAGAGCACTCTGGAAAAGGTTGTACATATGTCAACATGCAATCTTAATTAGGATATAAAATAAACTTGTAAGGTAGTATAATCTTAATTAGGATGTTATGTAAAGTTAAAAGTTTACATGTGTGCAGCTGCAGTTATTCATTATTTATCTTATTGTTCAAAAGCTTGAGTTTTAGTAGTTTTCTCTAAGGTTTAAATTAGGCTTCTTATCTGTTTCTAGTTTGCAGTTTCTTCCAGCTCTAATATCAAAATACTATCAAAATTTTCCACTAGATTTTTGGTAATTTTTCCTTTTTGTATTGTGTGGCAGGTTCCTTTTTGTAGCAGTGGTGGGTCATCTTTCATATCAACTGCGGTGGATAAAGTCACTGTTGACTGCTCTGAGGTAAGTTTCATTGATTAATGCTTGCATAATCATTTGCTAAGCTTAACTAAACAGGTTAATTTATAAGAAATTAATGTCTGCCTGTTACATTTCAATAAATGACTTCTTGCTGTTTTCTCCTCATGATTACTTTTTACAACACTTCTCTTTAACTTCACTTCTTTTTTGTCTGTCTGTCTGCTACAAATCTTATAATCGCAATTTAACACACTTCTACTTATCCTATCGATCTGAAATTGAGCACACTTGCGTAAAGTTGTAGACAAATGACAAAATAAATGATTTTAAAAATATATATTTTTTTAATATTAAAAAATTGAAAAAATAATTTTGTCAGCTACAAATCTGATATTTGACACAAATATCAGCTACAAATCTGACTTTTAACTGTCCAATTGATCTGAAATTTTGCACACTTGTGTGAAGTCGGAGGCAATGCATGAATCAATTGACAGAATGAAGAATTTCGAACAAGTTTTTTTATAAATTAAAAGAAAATTGGAAAATTAATTTTCTTAATATTCGAAAATGAAATCAGAAATTCATTGTACAGCTTTATTATTTTAGACACTGGATTCTTAAGAAGTGTTGTCGTTAAAAAGTAATTTTTAAACGTATATTATTATTACAACACTTCTCTTTAACTTCAATTCTTGTTTGTCTGTCTGTCTGTTTGTCTGTCTGTCTGCTACAAATCTTGTAATCAAAATTTAACACACTTCTACTTATCCTATCGATCTGAAATTTTGCCCACTTGTATAAAGTTGGAGACAATGCATGAATCAAATGTCAAAATAAATGATTTTAGAAATTAAAAAAAAAATTTTTTTTTCAATATTAAAAAATTTGAAAAAATAATTTTGTCAGCTACAAATCTTATAACTGATATTTGACACACTTTTACCTGTCTAATTGATCTGAAATTTTGCACACTTGTGTGAAGTCAGAGGCAATGCATGAATCAATTAATAGAATAAATAATTTTGAAAAAATTTATATATCAAAAAAATTTATATATTAAAAAAATTGAAAAATTAATTTTTTTAATATTCGAAAATTAAATGAGAAATTCATGGTACATCTTTAAGATTGGAGACACTGGATTCTCTGGAAGAGTTGTCTTTAAAAAGTAATTTTTAAACGCATATTATGCTATTCATGTGTGATTTTTTGGACTTGTAGATCAAGTGCATAATAGGTACTGGAAAAGGCACAAATTATAGTGTGTTATTATTTACTGCTCTGTATGGTCTGCTATACCTACCATCAGACCATATGCCTAAACTAATTAAATCCTCAAGTATTCCATCAGAAATGATATAAAGCACTGCACTGGTCAGTAGAAAGATTAAGATTTCTCTTTTTGCATGTATTAAATTATAGGTAAATATTTATGTCTGCAGCTTGTTGGATACCTGGCGGTGTACCGAGTTTGTTTTGCCGTGACTCTCTTCTTCGTTGCCATGGCCCTCATCATGATAGGGGTGAAGAGCAGCCGTGACTTCAGAGCTGGCATTCAGAACGGGTCAGTTCTAGTGCCATTAAACCTGCCTCTACTTGTATGAGCACGCCTTCAGGGCATAAATATTGATATGATTAAGTTTGGTCAAGTGTTAGTGCTCAAAGTCAAAGCCAGCATTCAAAATGAGTCGGGCCTTATGGCATTGAACTTGACACCAATAAATAATCACAGGAGCTTAGCATCTATATTAATGAGGAAATATCTTGTAGAATTAACTTTCTAGCAATCATCCAGAATTGTCTACAAATGGCCGTATGTCATTTATGAAATAATGGTATGATTTAGCCTTATGAAAAAGGAGTACGTTAACCTAACCTGAAAAAGCTGACCAAAGGATTTGCATTCAAAGCTGGCTAGGTATATATCAGGGGTTAAGCTGTTGATCAGTTTTAAGTTCCATGACAAATAACAGCACAAATTTGTTCTGCAAGAACTCACTTCAGGCATGCTCTTCCCATGATGTATTGATGCTACTGCCCATTGTTTTGCTGATACTTGTAAAGTTGCTTTTTGAAGCCTTCTAGCCCAGTAGGTGTCATGTTGTGCTTAACAAATTTACTTCTCATTGAGTATCCAATTATTGTGTGAAACTTCCACTATTTACAATTAAATTTGCTACCGTTTCCTTTATAATAATTCTTTGTGTTGATTCATTGAAAATGAAATATTATCATTTAACTGTTTCAGATTCTGGGGCTTGAAGTACCTCATTGTGATTGGTACGATGATAGGAGCTTTCTTCATCCCCCAGGGAACTTTTGGCACAGTGAGTAAATTTTTATTCAATTCACAAATTAGCTAAAAAAACGTCCCTTCTATTATTTTTGGATCATCTGTTATGCAACGTAAATTGCCTTGTAATGTTTTACTTTATTCAACCTCAGATATCCTTGTCCTAATTGTATCAATTTGAATACACTGGGGCCTTCTGAGAGGCTTAATGTGATTTTTTTATCTTCAGAAATTCCTTGTTCTGTTAAACCCAGTACTAACACCTCGGCATAGTAGCAAGGCCTAAGCTGCAACCTAGTGGAAGGCTAGTACTAGTTCATCTAACTTCAGAAATTCGTATTCTACTAAGATCAACATTGGATGTGTGTACTTTAGCCTAATCAAAGGCTTCATGTGATCTACTAGTTCAACTAACCTCAGGAATTCGTTTTCTGATATGATCAGGTTTGGATGTACTTCGGCCTTGTGGAAGGCTACATGTGATCTAGTTCATGTAACATCATAAATTTGTGCTCTTATATGATAAGGTTTGGATGTACTTCGGCCTGGTGGGAGGCTTCATGTTCATCATCATCCAGCTTGTACTCATCATTGACTTTGCTCACTCATGGGCTGAGTCTTGGCTTGAGAAGCTCGAGGAATCCGATGGCAAGGGATGGTTAGTTGTTAAAGCCTTAATTTCTTCTGATTTATTATTGACAATAAAATATTTCCTGTCTTGAAATCAGCCCTGCAAATTATGCAAGTCTTAGCATTCAAGCTTGGAAAATTATTCTGACCCAGCTTATCAAAAAACATAATGCTTGATCTTGTTTGCATACATAATTTTCCTTTTTTTGGTAGGTTGTGTCAAAATGGTTAATAGTTGAAGAATATCAAATTGATGTGATATAACATTCAAACTTGAAAGTTTGTCGTTTTCTCGTTAAGGTACTGCGCTCTGCTGTCAGCTACCTTCTTCAACTACGCTGCCTCAATCACAGCTGTCGCTCTCTTCTTTGTTTACTACACCACGGTGAGTGTAGAGTTGTTCTCTTCTTTGTTTACTACACCGCGGTGAGTGGAGAGTTGCTCTCTTCTTTGTTTACTACACCACGGTGAGTGGAGAGTTGCTCTCTTCTTTGTTTACTACTCCGCGGTGAGTGTAGAGTTGTTCTCTTCTCTGTTTACTACACCACGGTGAGTGTAGAGTTGCTCTCTTCTTTGTTTACTACACCACGGTGAGTGAGGTGAGTGGAGAGTTGCTCTCTTCTTTGTTTACTACACCACGGTGAGTGGAGAGTTCGATGCTAGGTTACCAAACATGATTGATGTCAAAATGAATTACTTAGAAATAATTGCCTATATTTTCATGGTATTCTTGCTATTTTCAATTTTTCCATCACTTGTAATAATAAATCGATCAACATTTGATCAGTAGAAACGAGTTGTGTTCGTCGTATGAAATTAGTTGAGGAATAATTTATTCTTGTATATTTTTATTACCGAGTATGAGTTGAATTTATTTACCTACAGACCAACGACTGCGCCCTCCACAAGTTGTTCATCTCACTGAACCTAATCTTCTGCGTGATCATCAGCGCCGTGAGCATCCATCCTAAGGTGCAGGAGCACCAACCACGCTCAGGCCTGCTACAGGTAACTCAGGGTAGAAAGTAACTGCCAGAAAATTAAAAATAAAACTTCTAAGAAAACGTTGGAAAATGAGCGGTGTTATAGAAGATCTGTGTGTGAAATAAAGGGCTGATTCAATATTCAATTTTCAGGAGCTGTTGTGAAAATTGATCATTTGCTTTGCTTAGTTTGATAGTCACTGATCTTCAACAATGAATGCAATCATTCTCATTTTGCATGCATTAAATTACAGAACAACAAGTTCAAGAAGTGTTGAGGATATAGTGTTTTATAAACTGCAGAACCTCTTCAACGAATGAATTCTTATAATGAATTACTGTATTTAAGTCACGAGTCACTATATATATTGTAATACTAGTAAGATAAAAACCTATGAAAAGTTGCTTAAGTGGTACTATGCGTTGCAGGCATCAGTGATCACGCTGTACACGATGTACCTGACGTGGTCAGCCATGAGCAACTCACCGATGCGTCAGTGCAAGCCAGACTGGCAGTCCGTCATCAGTGGAGGCCCCGCTCATGGCGGCGTTGAGGGCAGCGGTGCAGGCTCACTAGACGACGACGATGATGACGTGAGCCATCCTGTCTAGAATTCTTCGTCTTTTATAATTCACATTGTAATACTTAATCATTTTAATACTTCATAAATATTTCAATCTATGATACTTTAATCAGGATTTAATCTTCATTATAATTATTCAACTACGTGATTATTTTGTATATAATACTTCAGCATTATCTATACTTGATCAGTATGATGCCAAATCAGTATTCCGTATTCATGACTTGTCATGGTGCTTGAACAGCTTGATGATCACGCCCGCTGAAGTCGTTCTCTAAGTTATTACATTATACTCTGCGTGATTGAATACGATGTACGACGCAGAAACAACGCCCCTTACTGTAGGGTTTCCTCTATTTTCTGTGGTTCATCTCGCGTGGTTCTGATGTTAATGACTCGCTAAATTCAAATGGATTGTCAGGTCATGAGAGATTGAATCGCTGCTAGGTCGTGTTCTGATCGAAATCATTGATATTTATTGTCCGATTAGATTGTAAGCACGCGAATTATTGACATTTTTTGATTGCCTAGTTGAATATATAGGTAATTTATAGTGCTCAAACTTTTCTTGCTAGTCACTTTCTTTCCTATCATTTGTGTCAATCGTCTCTTTTCTTTCCGTTTCTTCGTCTATCTTCTGTCTGGCGCTCCCCCAGGACAAACCTGATTTCGTAAGTAGAATGTATAAATTTTGTTTTCACTTGATCCTTATATTAAAGAATTTAATCACCAGTTTTCTATTCACTCTTATTTTTAATCTCAATTCTTCTTGGTCTTTTAAAACTTAACTGGTTACTTATTTTTTCTGTCTTTGTGTAACTTGTTTTTAATAATTTTAATTTAGAATACTAGTGACTTCATTACCTAACAGGAACGGGATTTTTGTATTATCCTCTGACTGGTTAACAATTTCTGTAGTGCATGTTCTGAGCCTTCGTTCGCCTATGATCGTTTCGCAAAACAAGATTTGCTTGAAATACAGGCTCAATTAATCCACCTATACATTTTCTTAGTAACTTGCTTCCTCTAACATTACAGTGTATCTTCCACAATCAAATTTCCTATCTTCACATACGACGAGTATTTAGCACAAATTATTATTCAATATTATTCAATGCATCGTGTTAATATTCCATTATTACTTTAACGAACGGGCTCCTTAAGTACTGTATCATGCTGGTCCACCTAAAATTTGCGTCCTTATCATGTTCGAGCGGTTTGTTTCTTCAAAAAATTACCAAACTTTAGTAAGAAAAAATAGATTCCGTCATCTTCCATGGACTTCTTGTCACATTTTCTCATCCCTTGTAAGCCGTTTTGCATCTGCGAGCTTGATGTTAATAAATTTTGAATATATTCTTAAAAAGTATGTATACACAATACTTATCGCGATATTATAAGCAATAAACGTGTCGATCGCTTGTATTTTGACAAATGTGAATTCCTACAGACCCGTCCAAGATTCGATGGTGAGTCCATCGTCTCGCTGATCCTGTGGTTCCTGTGTGTCATGTATTCTTCCATCCGAACTGCCACCAACAGCCAGACGTCAAAACTCACCGGATCAGACAAAGTTCTCCTTAAGGAAGATAATGGTGAGCGGACTTTCTTCAAGCTTGGAAATTATTGTTGCGGTGAAATATTTAGCGTCGTCAAAACTCACTGGATCGGACAAAGTTCTCCTCAAGGAAGATAATGGTGAGCAGACTTTCTTCAAGCTTGGATAACTGTTGCGGTGCAATCTTTGGCGTCGAGAAGGCCCGAAGTCGTAAATTGAGAAGTCTAGTCGCCGTGGCTTGCGTCTAAAATGTTGGCTTCCTCTTTCTGATGCGTGGACCGCTAGCTTCAGGTTTTCCTGTAAAGAATGGGTAACTTGGCTGTATATGAACGATAAAGAGAAACAATTTTTTCACTATCGCTGAAAACTTGAAATAAGGCTAAAAAGCCTTACAATTACCAAATGATAATTGCAGGGGTATGTGCCTAAAACTCACTTGATCGTACGACTGTATATGTGATGCAAAGCAGTCAAGAAGAGCTGCGTAGTTGCACGGACTGCGTCGTACCGCCGGCGACAAAGCGCATAGGCAGTCTATTCAGATGGAATTTTTAAAATGAGGCGCCGGATCATAGGCAGTCTATTCAGATGGAATTTTTAAAATGAGGCGCGGGATCACGGGGAGCGATCCCGCCGGTAATGGTTCCCGCCAGAGTGGCGGGAAAACTGAAATGTCTTTTGCTCTGTAGTCCAAGGCATCTCGAAGCTCACACGTGGTAGACTCTTAGATCAATCCGTCTTCTTAATGAATCTGAAACAAATAACAGGATTACTTGAGTATTGTGGAAATTATTCAACTTTTTATGAGCTCTGTTTTTTTTGTGTCACCCTGTATTAACTCATTTGGTGTTCTCTTTTTGTCTTTTTTCCGGTGCTGGAAAGAATCAGAACCATTTGTCTTATGTTTTGTCTTCTTATACATAACGCATTCTGAGAATAAAATCAATCAGAATCGTGGCGAGCAAACGGTAAGGAGGGTGATCATGCTTGCTAATATGTCTCCCTTAGTCTTCTGCGATAAAAAAAAAGTTGTGCTTATGTTTAACCTGCTGGCTGATTCAACTATTTTATGGAATTGAACTGTTCAATTTATTTGAAATTTGTTTACCAGTTCTCTTAACAAATTTTGCTTGACTGTATGTTATCGTTTTGTTGAACTTGAAAGGTCATTTCCTAAGATATGTTTACTTGATGGCAGCCGCGAGTGACCCCGAGGCAGGAGAAGGCCATCACGTGTGGGACAACGAGACAGACGGAGTGGCTTACTCCTGGTCCTTCTTCCACGTGATGTTCGCCCTCGCCACCCTCTACGTCATGATGACGCTCACCAGCTGGTTCTCCCCCAGCACCGACATCACCGACGTCAGCAGCAACATGGCTGCCGTCTGGGTCAAGGTGAGATATGTGCCCCACCAGATGTCGAGATATGTGCCCCCTGCACCAGTATTTTTTCGTCCAAAAATTATTACAGATTTGAAAAATTCAGGAATAGCATTTTGTTTTGATCAATAATTAAAATGGAAACAAAAACCACTAATGGTGTTCGTAATTCATTACCTACACTCAGCAAAAATTGTGTATTCGACCTTAAGAAAACCCCTCGATCCTTTTAAATTGTGGCGATGTCAAGACTTTTCATATCGCAGCAATAATTCACTTTTTTAATTTGTAAAGAATTGATTTAAATTGGACGAAATTTCTTGTGTAGTGGTAGCGACTATACACCATTTTCTGTTTGAGGACTTCTATATAGTACAAGATGTGTGCTGAATTTAGTGCAGCCGAATGCGCTACCACGACACAGAAAGCTGACTCTTTATTTACCCAGCCATAACACCCCTCCAATCTTTAAGTAAATTTTTCGTTATGAAGCAGGCACTTCAATTTATTTTTCGTTCTTTTATTTTGGATAATAGATTGTCTTTTGAAAGATTAGTTTCTATTAGTTAGCTATTAGTATTCACTGTATTATCATTCAATTATTCAACTACTATGATTTTAGTCCGTATTCTGTGCTAAAAAGTTTAGCCTATCAATTACCCTCAATTTCTCATATATTCATGAGGTATCATTTATATATTCGATTAATTTTTTCATCATTGCTAATATCTTATGCCTCACAACAGATCGTGTCGAGCTGGATGTGCCTGGCGCTGTACGTGTGGACGCTCGTGGCGCCGTGTGTGCTCACGGACCGCGACTTCAGTTAAACACAACGGACGATGTGGCCATAATTGCTCCATGCTCTTTGTGCGCCAGGGCCATTATTGCTCCATGCTCTTGGTGCGTCAGGGCCTTGATATGCTCCATGCTCTTGGTGCGTCAGGGCCTTGATATGCTCCATGCTCTTTGTGCGTCAGGGCCTTGATATGCTCTTTGTGCGTCAGGGCCATTATTGCTCCATGCTCTTTGTGCGTCAAGGCCGTGATATGCTCCATGCTCTTGGTGCGTCAGGTTCCTCAATTCGCAATAAAAGCTGCGGTTTTTGCTGAGGCCTGGTACTTCTTTGGTAAGGATTACTCTCTTCTGAATATCAGGCTCGCTACTATTAACAAAATCATCGATGGTCTGTGTTGAATAAAATTAGGATTTACTCTATAGTTGACTGGGAAATATTGGCGTAATAGTTGTAGAGGCTTTTGTCCTGATGGAATCGGTAGTTGAAGTTACCTAAACCATACTTTCAAAACTCACTAAATGAATGTAAGTACTTACGCTCTATTTTCTTGTCTATGATAGGTGGATTTTGCTTGAAAGGCCGTCAATGATTGGCTGATAAACTTACGATCTCTCTTTTTTTTTTTTTTTTTTTTTGAAAGGATACTTTCTGGCTTTTGATTGATTTTGAAGGTTAAAATATTCTGATGAAATCGGTGCAGTGTGTTCATTTAAATTTTGTTCACCTTCTTCAACTCAATACATAGTCACAGCCATTGCAGTAGACTGAAAAAAGCCTGCGTGTACATTTTCAACGTTTACAGTTATCTACATTAATGTTATAGTGTATTTTTGATCGTGTTTTAGTGTCGTGTAGTGAATTTATCGCTTAAGCTACCTTGGTGGCTCCTGCTTTGGAATGCGCCGAAGTTTTATTTCATCGATTTCTTCTCAGACAAGTACTTTCATAGAACACAGCCTAGTAAAAAGCACTACACTCAACGATAACTAAAGCATTTATTGCTTATCCAAGTTCAGTATATTTGAGCTGAGAGAGCTCAGTGATTTTTGTGAGTTTTGGGATAAGCTTAAGGTTTTTCAATCTGTGATCTTATGCTTTAAAGAACTGAATCGGTTTTTCTGTCCAATAATCGTAGCTTATTCTTGTGAATGCTGCATCATAGCTGAAAACACAATTTAGCTTATTTATTATTAATTATTTATCAGACGAAAATAGTCGTACGTTTTAGACCTCACTACGTGTACAAAAAGACCCTTGTCACATCTCCAGCCCTCATCAATTTATTGCAGTGCAAAACAGCAAGTTAGGGAAGTGGCAGACTTCTTGGCACGAGAACTAAATTTGTGTCTATGTTAATTTTGAACATTCCGTAATTTGTGACACTCAATTTCGCAGTTCCATCACAAAGTGGCAGTTCATGGTCGCGCTATTTTATGAAGGTTCACGATAAGATATATTTTATAATAGTTGACAACACTCTAGTGTGGTGACGTAAAATAATAGATTTACATAGTTGCAGTACCTACTCATGCCATTGTTTTCGCGTTAGCATTTAGTTGTAATTAGATGCTATTGATTGTAAGGCTCCTGACAAGTGTTGGTGGAAAAGCTCGTCCTATTATATGCTTGTCATGCATTAAATCAGATTAGCTATGGAAATTAGGGGTTCCATTCAACTTGAAGGAAGAATCGTCACTGCTTGTATTCAGAGCAAAATATCGAGCCGTAACCAGACCTAATCGATATATTTTTCTAGGTTGAATTGTCAAAGAGTCAAACAAATGGAACGCTTGCGTCTATTGCATGGTGTTGCACTTAAATTCCTTGAACCTATTTTTCTTCACTAATTTGTGAGAAATCCGAATAGTTGCACATCATGCAACCAATTATTATTTTTTTTTTTTGCTCTGTAATGTAGGCCTAGTGAGTTGCATCTTCGCTATATATATATACTCTTCGTAATGTAGCATTGGGCTATAAAAATCGTAGAATTTGCTGTTGACATGCAATAATGATGTAAGTGTACTCCAAAGCAGTAAATTGGCATGCCATCCATTTTTTATCGTTACTACCTTACTTATATTTCAGACAAATCGGACCGTATGATTGTCTTGTCAAAAAATAATTTTTCTGTAAAGTCAACAAGTTGCCGGCGAGAATAAATACGATATGCATTGTTTCGGTTAGGTACAACAATATACGGCCTTGGGAATTTGCTTCCAACTGTGCAAGAACCGTCGGTCGCAATGAAACAAGTACGTATGTTACTATCCGAGACATGAAATGAATATGGTTATCCAGAAAAAAATTAGATGAGAATTAAAGAAAAAGCGGCTATGTCGTCGAATTTTCTTTTGGAATGAAGGTTGTAAGCTTAAATTAAATAAGCAGAAACTTAAAAACCGGAGCACCAACAGTGAAGTACGACTTCCTTTACAAATTCAGCACTGAGCTATAGGCTGATCATGGTGTCATGATACGTGATCGCAGTATTCAAGATTTTCTAATTTGGAAGGATTCACTGTTTCACAATAATTGCTTGGTTCTAGTTCTGCCGATAATGAAAATGATCACTCAGAAAAATGGATGGATCATTTTCCAAATAATGATGCACTTTCTTACCAACAGCACGAGCAAAGATCATGCGTGCACTGATACTCATTTTCGCCAGGCCAAACGGGGTTAAAAAATTGCGCGTAGAAGGGCAAAAAGTGCATCCTTATTTCAACGGCGCCTAATTCATTTCTCTGAGTGAAGAACAATATGAATTATTCTTTCTATTCTATCAGTTATTCCGGTGACCGAACACGCCAAACTTATTTCGCTACCCAATAAAAAGTTGCAGAAATTTGACGAAAAGGATTTTGATAGGCATTGGAAGCATGTCTCAACTTCTTGTACAACTACCGTGAAAATAGAAAGCTTGTGACAGTAAGCGTCGAACTGAACTGTGACAGTAGCTCCGCAACAGAAAAAAGATTAAATACATTACTTTGTACATAAAATAATTATAATACTATCTATATCGACGAAAATTGACTAGATATGTAAAAAAAATATCCACGGAATGTTGTGAGGGGAGTGGCTGCCAAATTACAAGTGATAAATGACAATTTAAATATATCACAGAAATCTCAGTTAGTTTACTTGTTTTAATGATGTCAAAACTTATTTTTTAAAGCAAGTTTCGTGTTTGTTTCTAAAGTTTCAACAATCTTTATCCAAAATTATAACTGCATAGACACAAAGCTCCTAACACGTGTCGTTGAAGAATTGTAAGAAGGATATTCTCTTATTTGCATAAATTTATTTTGGCCTCTAACAGGTTCTGCAATTGCGAACAATGCTTTATTACCCCAGTAAAATCTTCTATTAAACGTCGATTTTGGGCAGACATATGTCCAAATACTGTAGCAGTTTTAGGGATTCATACCCACACCAACTTCGATCAGTCAATATCAGCTAATTTGTGCGAGCTACTTTTTCTCCAAACTTTTGAATTTTTCTTCTAACCTTCTGGAGTAAGCATCTAGTTTGTACGCAGCCGCCTCGAGTTTAGTGACGCTGTCCTCTATCTGATCAATCTGGTCAAGGTAGGGCTGCAGACCGAGGTACTTAGCGTTCAGTTCGTCCAAGGAACGCCCGATGCTGCTTGTGATCTGGCGCAGGTCGGCGTACTTGGCAATGGTGGCACAGTTCATCTGCTCCAGCAGCGTGTAGTCCTCCAGCACTGCATTTAGTTCACCCTGAATACGAATTTATTGGTCAAGATATTTAAAAACTGCGTCATGAACACAATGATTTTTTATTTCTAAATAGTGCAACAAAAAATAAGTTATCCAATTAACCAAAATAGATTTAAATTTAGCAATAATTTTATAAATAACAAACTCAAAGTTGTAAAATTTATCATAGAAGGAATAATAAATTTTGAAGATAAATAATCTGAAAATTTATTTTAAAAATAATTTCAAAAGAATGCTACAAAACCATTATATAAATCATAATCAATAGAAAAATCTTTGTTATTGATCATAGTAGCTTAAAATAAGCTATTTATCTATAAATGATAGACATGCCTGTAGAAAATAAATTCATAGGACCTGTAAGTAGCTTGAAGTCTTGGAAAACATGAGGGATGCCAAATGGCTGAGGTTGGGGTCATGGGGGTCGAGAGCTTCAAAGCTGCTGGTGCTGGTGGACAAAGTAGGGCCTCGCTTGGGGGAGTTGAGATTATCACCAAGTGTGGCATGACGTTCAACTTCTATTCGATCCTTGTGAGCATGAGATAACTGCTCTGATCCAGTGTTAATGATTCCTTCATTATTAGGAACGCTGGTTTCTGAACATTCTGAAGTCCTCAAATTGTCTATTTTGCTAGATAAATTTGCAATGTCATCCCCTTCAATAGTATCTGTACTTAGATTTACACTCTGATTTTTAACATCACTAAGAGCCATTATAAGCTATTTCAAGAAAACCTGAAAATCAAAATAACTTGTGAAATTTAAACAAGATAAATTGCAGTAAATGTGCCTGGATTGTAACTTATGTATCATGAAAATATCCTTTAGATTAGCAGGATATTTTCCATAATTGCTTATGATTAGCTATTATGTATATATTTGTAACTGATTTTTTGTCTGTTTGGAGCCTGGCCCTGCATACATAGAGCTGAAAATATTATGGTACGGTACAATAAGACTGATATAGGTAATAGTGCAATAAGTACTTATTGTACATACTTACAATGGTGTGACCATGATAGATGGAAAATAGGAGCAAGGAAGAGTGAGATCTGGATTAAAAATTAAAATGAGTAATGTAAAACAGGGTAACTTGTACTCAAAAAGTTATTGGATATTCTTTATCTAATGTACATTATATCAAATTAGTAATGTAATGTAACAATACCAACTAATGTAAATTCCTTTATTAAACTCATAAATGACATTTCAGCTCTATAGTATAGTGGCTACTGGCTTGCATTCACATTTCAACCGTGTTCTCAATGTTTTTTGTGAGAAATAGAATCTTGCATTTTATACTGTTTTACTGATCACTTAAAAATCTTTTGCTTGTGCTTACTGGCTACTGCTTCGTGCTTCCCAGCAAGCAAAATGACCCATTGATCAATCATTATGATTATCTCACCTGGTCTTGCAGTTGCAGGTGCAGCATGGTTTAAGTCATCAAATTTATAGTATCCCATAATCCCAAAGACCCAAACCCAAACTGCTCAACACATTTAAATAAAATTGTGTCTGTGGAGTGTGGACTGTGAGTGTGAACTGACTGAACTCAGTTTGTGCTTAGTTTGTAAATTTTTTTATGATTTTATGAATCTACTACAATCAAAAGACAAAAGTCATAGGTACTTGCTACAATTTGCATGACCAATCAATTCTTCCAAACTGCTGGACAGCTTGAACTGGCTGAACAGATATTTGTAGAATGACTAGAATCAGAAACATGAATCACATTGCTGCAGGTGCAGGGCACCTAGTATGGCTATGGAATATATCTACTTGGCGAGCCACGACTGAATTTTTCGAGCCGTGGTTTTATGGATTTGCCAGCCGTGATTCCATTTCTACGAGCCGTGATTCTATTTCACCGAGCCGTGAATTCCATATCTCGGCCATGAAAAGCCATTTAAGAGGTGCGAATGCGAATTTATTTACAAAGTTTATGCACGTGTTACCCCAAATCTCTAATTTTACCCTTAAACAGTCAAACGGCAACAATAAAATTTGTCTCTACTGTAAATCCGGCACGTGTTAATATACAGTCTGACCGCTTTGACATGACCGCAACTATGCTCAATCTTCAACAAACGTTTTGTTTATTTGTTTACATTACGATGTTTATGTTTTTTCTGCAAGATATTTTTGGCGGAAACGGTAAAGCAATGCGGATTGCGGAAGTTGAAAATTTTATGAAATGACATGTTTGCGAAGTGCAAACCGCGATTTTTTAATCAAACAAAAATTTATGACATTCGAGCTGCGAGATTTCATACCTACTGAATCTGAAATTATATGATATTAGAGCTGCGATATTTCAGACAAAAATAGGACTTTTCCAGACTAGCAGGGCACAGGGCTGCAGCCCTGCAGGCTGCTCACCAGACATTTCCATTTTCCACAACTGGTCATCCAAGTCAGTGATCAAAAAATATTCCCATACTTCATATCAGAATTCAATAAAACTTTGCACTTAAGCTCTTGAGAAACTCTTGCTTGTGCCTTGTCAGCTTGTAACTTGTATCTACATTTAACATTGTGAATTTTTCAAGGATTACAACCTCATTCCACAAGTTCTAAGGCAATAGCAATTGGGGAGAATGGGGACTGGGGTTTACAACATGTCAAAGTTCCTGTCTCCTGAGTCCTGACAGGCAACACGGCCATGCAACAGCAAAGCAGTACTGAGTGCAAGGACTCCATCTCCATGCAAGTTTACTATAGAAGATGTAGCTGAGCCTGAATCCTGATCATGGCTTCTTCAATACTCTGTGGGACAGTGGGTCGGGTCGGGACTGTGGCTCTGTGCAAGAGATGAGGTAGTGTTGTAGTGATGCTAGGTTTCCGTTCCGCTTCTGGGGCTTTGCACAAGGGGCATTGCGGTGAGGGCCCTGGGCCTGAGCAGTGAGCCCTGAGGGTCCGAGGGACGAGGGTGAGGGGGGGTTGATGGATTTGGTATTGGTAGAGCCCGTAGAGGGCCTTGTTCAGTGGAGCTGTGGCAAGGCAAAGTCGAGCAAAGAGCGCCTCAAATCGACGAGTCAGCGTGCAGAAAGACAATGTTCGAACACTCGAACTCAAACCGATGGTTTTATTGTTCCCAGGGGCACGGGCAGGAGCCAGGTTGAATTGATGTCCACTTGGCTTGCCAAAAATTCCAGGCTCCTCTTTTTACAATAGACTTAATCTCAGAGAATTCAAAAAATGGTATATCTGCCACTCAGACTGCCAGTCCGTCGTTAGACGTCGACGTCGTTGCCTGCTTTGCAATTGAAATGTCAGCTGACTCTCTCCGCTGACCGTACCTGTATAAGTCGGAGTTACGACTGTACGAGCCATGGCTTAATTAAACAGCATCCGGCGCAGTGGATAAATGAGTTGAGAAAAGTGGATATATGTATTTGCAATATAATTAGGTGTAGAAATGTTGTTAAGGTTCTGGGCATCATAGTATGATGCAAAATAAATAAATTATTGTAACAATTAGGAAAATTTATCCATCTGTGGCATTGATAAATCATGTTCAAATTCTATATATCATCTGGATTAGCTGCTCAAAAAGTCAATTTCAAAATTCTAAATTTATAGCAGTTTTACTTTTTTCTCCCCGTAAATGCCTAGATTAACCATGATTTATTTTATTGAATTTTAATCAAAACGAAATGATGTAGTACTATGTAATAGTTAGTCCCCTAAGGCATTGCTGATATTTAAATATGTTCTGAATTTTTCGTCAATCCGTTGAGAATTGACCGAATCGACACTTCTCCGAACCCACCTGCGAACTCACCTGCGGACTCAAACGCAAAAACCGCAAAACCACACGCTCAACTTAACCACTCATTAGTCCTTCAATAGTGAGCGGATTTGCTTGAAATTTGGAATGTAAGTAGTTTGAGATTTGAGGGATTTATGAGCGTATGAGTTACGCAGAAGTTTTTTTTTTTCATTTAAAACGAAAAAACTGAAACGTGGCGCATTACTGATAATTAGATATATTTTGAATTTTGTGTAGTTCCGTTTAGAATATTGGGACTATAATGAGTGCTTGAGTCGAGTTTTGCGTTTGTTCACGGTTAAGTTCGGTGAAGTGTCGATTTGATCTCGAATATACGGGTAAAGGATTCAACGGACCTGAGATAAATTTTTCAAATGAAATCGACGAAAATTCTATAAAAAATTTATGTTTACTGGACGTTTTAGACAATTCCCCATCGATCAGTTCGATCGAAAGGTACAATTTTCTGTGACCCAGATGTGCTGGTCGGACGAAATTTTTATAAGCAAATTTTGAAGCTTTGGTATGCAAAATTTTAGGTACTTCTGACCTTTTACAAGATTTGCAACCAATAAAATGAAAAATAAACCATTTTGACTGCAAACGCCCGCGCCCAGCTACTTGCATCCGAAGAAGAAAATAGCCCGATATTTAAAGCGGAAAGTATTTGCCATTAATACTATCGGCTAATAGTTTTCCCGGGGAGCGCAGCCGTGCACCACCAATTTTGTGCACCAATAAGCCCTGAATCGAACGCCTTGGATCTCTCTGGACCTACACCAATCAGCCGTGCACCACTCGGCTTTGTCCTCTTCCGGCCTTGACCACCACCTGCCGTGCACCACCAGGCCGCGGATCGAATATGACTGCCAGACATCGTGTTAAATTACGTAATTTTACGTTCACCGCATCTGAGGTTAAGTTTTTGATAGCATAGTTCTGTTCCAAAATTTATCGTCCTTCGACAAGTGGCCGTTCGACCGAGGGCTGGTTCGACCCATGGCCTAGATACGGACGGCTTGAAGTGTTGAAGGGCTACATTCCGGAAGGCGGAATCATGATGGTCCATTATATCCAGGGCAGTGGTGGTCTTCGACAGGCGACCTGTTTTCCCATGCATAATCACCTTATTCCAGAGGATGTGGCGGAACATGTAGGTACTGTTTTATACGACGATACCAGGATATTTGATAGAATTAGTACGCCCTTATAAATATAACCCATGCAAGAGGATTGAGCCAAGCTTGTTGGTGGTCACTTTCGGATCCCAGACATTTGTACAGTCAATACAGTCCATCTATGCCCCGACTTCGGTGTCGTGGGGTGGAGGTCTTGTGGCCCGAACATTTACGCACCCCGAAATTATTTACCACTATCGGGGAAATTTTTTTTTGTAACCACCAAAAACTAAAGTCACACATGTACACTTTCTACACCATGACAGAAGTTTACATCGATCCTGTGTTACCATGTATGTAAATGCAACTCCTAGCGAGTTTGCGTAGTTTGGGGGATCGATTAGCATCCTTATGTGCCAGAATACATAAACAACTAATGTGCCATCGCCCAATACGAACTTCTTTCTTTCCCTGACCAGCAAAAAATGTCATGAAATTTTCATTTTAAGTCAACAAAGGTGAAATAAGTAACAAGGTGATTGAAATCCAATATCAAGTTAGACTGGCGAAGTTGACGATGTAAGTGACAGATTGCTGCAACATCTATTGCTGAAAGTCTAAGTCGAGAATGGAAAAATGGTTCGTATTCCAGTTTAAAATTTCTTAACCGAATTAATTATTTCGAACTCACGGTCTACATAAAATTTTTCGTATGTATGAACGAAATTCGAGGCTTCACATTGCATATAGAGTTTGAGCTTCGGCTAATGCGATTGGTGAATTAACATAGACTTGTGCAAATGCTAAAATACGTGGCAATACCATCCTCTATGAAAAAACTCTTAATTTTCATTTGAGATAATGTGCTCGTGTGATTGTTTGCATGTTTGGAATCATCGAACCGGGCATCATGAAAATATTAGGGCTATTTGAATGAGTTTTAAAATGCGCGTCTTGCGTTAATTAATTGGATATAAAATACAAATTACTGCTTTAACTTACGTAGTTTCATAATGTTGCTGTCATTAAAATTGTCATAAAAATTTGAATCATAAAAAAATCATTATAAAATGACAAATTTACGTTTGCTCCAGATTTAAATAATAACGTTAAATATGATAAAACGATTCTGAGCTTTCATTCTAGTATTCTGAAGGTTAACTAAATAATAAACAGCCCAAAATAATAAGCATGCAGTAATATATTTCCGATAATTTTCGTCCTCTATTAACACTTGAATTGTGATTTGCCAAATTTCCGAGGAGAATAATTTATGATTTAAATTCGTTTTTGAATTACTGATTGAATATTTAATTAAGATTGAATATTCCGTCATGCATCGTAGCAAAAAAGTGAATATAATCCTGGAGTGCTATAATAATAGTTTGATATCTGTTATTCTATCCAGTCCACCAATTTCATAAATTATTGATGACGGTGATGATTAACCATCCGCACTTGCACATAAATTGTAAGTGTCCACATTCGGCATCCTCTTTTTAATTTTTAGCTCATGTATAGAAAAAGTCGAATGAGTTATATATGATTGCGTGATGTGACCGATGATTGCAATAAATGCGATACATCTCAATTCCTCTTCATGATTGAGACGAACTGCTCGTATCTGATTTGCCCTTCCTCGTCGACATCGGCCTCCCTGACGATGAGTTCGACCTCCTCCTGCGTGAGCTTCTCACCCATGGTCATGAGGACGTGTTTCAGCTCCGACGCCGAGATGGTCCCTTCACCGTCCTTGTCGAAGACGCCGAACGCCTCGCGTATCTCCTCCTCGCTGTCGGGCGGGGGGAAGTCTTGCTCCAGGACTGACTGTCGAGGGACATTAGCTCCAGTGAAACTAAAACGTATATTTTAATATAGAAATTTATATGTAAGGGTATAAGCTTGACGCGTGTGGTATTGTATTCACAGATTTTAATAAATGTAAGCAGGTATGCAATTAAGCCTAATATAATGTCGAAATAAATATTTTTTCGCACTCCAAATTGGACACCATTATTAATTATGTCTCATATTTGCGTAATTTACTTATATATAATAACGAAATCACGTACAGTGATCCATAATTATTGCATTCATATTTGCGCAATTTATTATACATAATAAGAAAAAATCATGTACAGTGATCAATTGCATTGCATTTAATGGGTCTCATCATATCAAAACGGGCAATGAATCTCACCAAGAAATCTTGCAGTGACAGGGGGTCGGGGACGCGCATCTTAGCGATCATTTGTTGCAGGTCTTGGTTGCTCGGATTAGCGCCGAGTGACCGCAAGGCTTTGCCGAGGTTGTTTCGTGGCAATTTGTGGTTAATGGAATAAATCGCGAAACATTCCTTTGCTGATTCGATTTCGCGAGCACCCAAGCGGTGAGCCATCGCTGGTCTTTGGTGAATGTTCTGTGGGCATTTTTGAGATATTTAAATTATATCGAATTACAAAATTAGAATGAATAAATACTAATGGCTGCTCAAAACTGGGATTTCTCTTCAGCGCATTTGCGAAATAAACGCACCAGAACAAACACTCACGCAAAATATTTTTCAAAACCCCTAAAAGTAAACGAAAAAACACACTAACTCTGAAGTGGGCAAATATTTCCATAGAGCAACATATGTAAATATTTAATAATGATCCATGTAACAATAATTTGAAGTGATCGTGATGTGAGCTCCAATCGTCAAATTAAAGGTTCTTGATATTATGTATTCACTGTATTATTCTGGATTTTTCTAAATAGTGAATCATAACCGAACCCATCGTATATTATATCCTACAAAATCAGTTCAGATTGAGACGCGGTGGAGATCAGGCGTGTTGTGTAGTCGCTCCAGGAGCCTGACCGAATTGTTTCCTGCTTTGAATTGCTTCCGGAACTTTATTACCGTCGTGCGGTTGTGCTGGACTTCCGGAACTTTATTACCGTCGGGCGAGTGTGCTGTACTTCCGGTACCGTCGGGCGGTTGTGCTGTACTTCCGGAACTTTATTACCGTCGGGCGGCTGTGCTGTACTTCCGGAACTTTACTACCGTAGGGCGGTTGTGTTCATCAGGCTTGTTTCCGGTGATTTATTGTTTCCGGTGATTTATTGCCATGAGAGACCCTAGCTAAATCTCAGTGAAGGAACCCGGGAATCATTAAACAATTAAGAAAGAAGACATTTCGATGGCTGGGAAGAAAGTAAACAAGATTGTTAAGAAGGAATGCGGTTCTTCGAAACAAGACGCACCGAAAAAATCGAACAGGAGAGCGAAGTGCGTAGTTGAAGATGCATGCAAGTTTTGCAAAGAGACCTCGTTGAGAGAATATGATCAGATGGTCATCTGTGAACACTGCGAGGATTTTATTTGCATCAGTTGCGCGAAGCTGAGCTCTGAAGAATACTCTTTCCTACAGAAAACAGAGTCGTTTCACTGGTTCTGTAGCGACTGCGAGAAGCCGACTCTCCGTGCCAGGAAAAGCGAGAAGCAGATGGAAGAGAATTGGTTCGCTCTGTTCGCAGCATTTCGAGCTGAAATGGAAAACAATTATCGGAAAGAGATGAACACGTTGAGTAATTTAGTTGGCTCTTTGAGTAATGAACTGAGCTCGTTACGCAGAGAGCTGATCGAAGAGAGAGCTCAACGGAAAAATACAGAAAACTTGGAAAAGATGGAACTGAAGAATCACAACGTGGACATAGCCGAAATCGCTAGCGAAAGCTCCCGCGAATTACTCGACAGAGAACGAAGGAAGTGCAATCTTGTTTGGTTCGGCATTCCCGAAAGCACCGCATCTGAGACGAACGAACGTGTGATGGCCGACAATAAGTATGTGGCAGACTGTTGTAGTAAAGCACTAAGCACGCCGCTTGATATTGCATCGTGCAAGAGGCTGCGCTCCAAGAATGCTGCTACTAACGCATGCAGACCTCTATTGGTGACTGTGAAGGATCCGGCCCAGGTTTGGAGCGTGCTGAAAGCAGCGAAAAAGTTAGGAGAAACTGTTGAATTCAAGTCTGTTTTTGTGAAAAATGATTCCACCCCTTTAGAGAGGGCGGAGTTCCGCAAGAAATGGCGGGAGCGAATCCGCTCTAAAGGATTCCACCCCTTTAGAGAGGGCGGAGTTCCGCAAGAAATGGCAGGAGCGAAACAGACGCAGAAACACGGAAAATCATGTCAACACCATTCAAGATCTCACGAGGACTCCGACACTCCGTGGTGACCTCATTGAAGTATACAAGTATACTCATGGTTTGTACAAGGTCCCAGAAGGATTACTAGAATTTGAAACAAGAACCAACACCAGGGGTCACAGCTATAAACTAAAAAACTGCGGTTCAACTTATCCACGCGACAACATTTCTTCTCGCTTCGAGTCACTGACATGTGGAACAGCCTCCCTGAAGATATTGTTGACGCTCCGAGTATGAACGCGTTCAAGAACAGACTAGACAAGGCCATGCATGAGCATATGTTCAGTCTAAAAATGCCTCGTACCCTACGGAACAACTGATATCTAGAAGCGATTTTAAATCTACCGTCCGTAAGGCCAGTCTAGTCAAGAAAAGAACAAGAATCGGCGACAGGCCTATGCAGGCCTATTTATTTAATGCCGAAGATACTATACTACTATACTATACTAAAACAAACGATGTTGAAACCTTGTTTAATCAACGTTGATTCAACCAATCAGCGTTCATTTCAACATTGATTTAACGTCTTTTGCCTAGTGGAATAAAACATTTTCGACAATCATGGAAAAGTAAAAACTCGTTGTTCTCTATCTTATAAATTTGTACTGGACATCAGCTTTTCCCTTGCACCTTAATCAATTTTTTTTCTAGCTATTATTAATTACGTATCAATTCTCACCGGATCACTACAAATTAAAATAAGCTTAAACTAGTTGACGGACGTAATGGATGTTGCACGCAACGCGCCGGTACTGCGACTGCAACAGCTGGCTGATAGAGTTGCTTATCGCATGAAGGCTTATCTGGTGGCGGCATAACACGATAACGCTGGCGGATGAAACTCGTTGTCTCTTCTGTCCTCGAGTTCCATAATAATGACTTTCGTAAATTGGGGAATTTACAGTTTATTTGCATTGTTGCTTTATGGGATGTGAGATCATTTACTAAGTAAGGATAAATCTGGATCGAATTAACAGGAACTCGTACGTAAAAACTTTTATCGAAACTTTTTCGGAAGTCAAAACTTTCTCGGGAGGACGTGATCTTATAGCATAACTAGAAGGTTATGCTGCTTATGTACTTCCATTCAAAGTATCATTTTTATATAACATTATTTTCCTTTCATTCACATTCATTTCATTTTCCTATTTTCCTTTCATTCACAGTAGTATTTGTAAATGACAAGTAAAATTAAATGAGAAGTGAATGCTTAAATCGTTGTAGCGGTTTCGTTCAAGATTTTGAATCAATATAATACAAATATTTAGAAATTCAGAATTTCTAGATTTAATGGTTACAAAATTTTTTGTTTAAATATAAACGTCGCCACAATGCACACGACTATAGTTAACTACATTCCAACTTTTAGCATTTTGATTCATTCCACCAGAACCTCTTATTAGAGTATGTACTTAGGTGTAGCAGCTGTCATCCCGTACTAATTAGTTTGTTTAATAGCCGAATTGATTTTTACTGTTTATAATCGTTTTCTTTGTATTTATATTTGTGTAACTTGTAACGATCTGTTATTTATAGAGCTTTCAATACTTAGACCGGAGAAAAGCATCTTTATTTTCCTTAAATTAATTGAGAGACGCTTCATCGACACTCCTATACGTACAACTTCATAATTCCAGTTAAAAAATGTGAAATTACATAAAAATTTGAAACTTTAAACTACAGTTCTCGAGAATTAGAAGTCACAGTACACTAGATGTCTAACAAATATAGCTCTCGAGAATTTGAAGTCACAGTACACTAGATGTCCAAAAAATTTAGTTCTCTAGAATTAGAAGTCACAGTACACTAGATGTGCAATTCATACGAGGTAATATCTAAAATTTTCGACACTTGCCATGGTTACTCCAGAGTAACCGGAAGCTGCTTTTCTTGATCTTCTGAGGTAAACTTTTGAGGGAAGCAACGAACGCATATTATAGTCTCTCTCAGGTTACACAGAAAAGGAGTTCCTTGGTGCTGAAAGTTTGTCACAATTTTTAGAGCGCTTCTATGATTCTTTAAAAGACTTTGAGTGACTGACACCCCTTCTGCATAATGTGGGAATATCTCTGGACAACTATAAAAAAAAAACATTTTGAACGTTAGAATAGATCGAGGGTAATAGAGTCTGAATTTATATTTACACGCTCAAAATGGAATGAATTTACTTCTTGGATTGAAGTTTTGAACACAATCACACGCACAAACTATTTCAGTGAAATATTTTTCTCTGACTAAATTATTACTGTCATCATCAAGTATACCTACCCAGCAACATATGATATTGCGAAATGATGAAATTCAAGATTAAAATTTTGGGCTCTTTGTTTGCAGGAAATGTAATTGGGACTCGACATATCTATCAAAAGTTTTTTCGCTTAATTATGATCAATTAATTGCATCCAATTTTGAATTTCCTTCAATTTATAAGCAGAAACGACCTATAAATGTAATATTATTCGTTAGAAACGTCTGAGACTTAAAATTTATATTACAATAAATATAGGTAATTCTATTTGGAGATCTATAAATAAGCAAGAATAAATCAACATATCATTTTAATTCACCTAAATATCGTTCATGATACCGCACAAGGCTTTGGTTGCGCCACCAACATGAGCAGCGTACCGCATTGCAGGTTGTACAGTCGACGAGATCACAGTAACTGAGGTGTGTGTAAAATTAAAGAGCCTTGCTGCCTCGTGTCCCCTGAGGCAAGATCGAACCTCAAAACTGATTGGCCGCTCGGCCACCTCTACAGCTTTTGCGAAACCCTGGAAATGCGCCACTGACGCTACACAGATTTATTTCTTGAGATTTAAATCTTACTTATGTATTTTCCTTAATTTACAGAACACGGCTGCTTGGCTGATTTAGAATGACAGTCGTTTATATAGGTTGAATAGAAATAAGTCACAGAAAATGTTCGAATATTTTTTGTTGTATTGTTACGATAAGAGCGATAAGAATTTCAGCCGAAAACAGTAGCTATGGCAATCTTGGGACAGCTTCAACTCAGGTTATTTGATTTCTGAAACCATAATTGAACATAAGTGCAAATAAACAGTGTATGATTTTTTGTCCCGTTATTTAAACATTGGTGGATTCGATGAGATAAAAAAACTGTTTTGCCGTTGATTTCTAAATAATCCTTTCCGTGTAATTGTACATGCAATCACAACTACTCGGATGTAAACTTTAATACCCACTTCTCGTCAATTATCGTCAAAAATGTATCATGTTTCTTTCCGTTACTTCAAAGAAGAAATCGGCAGTCTAAACAAGACTCCGTGAGCAGTTGGCCACTTTTCCCTCTCGCACCACTCCCCTCTATGGAGTTCTCTCCCCTCACTTAAAAGATCTCCAAGTAGCCAATGTAGACAGAGTGCGGTGAAAGCCTGAGCACCATCGCCCATGCAAGCAAACGACGGCCAAACACTTCATTGATCAAGCGCCTGGGACCTGAAAACCAAGGAAACGAAGAGAATATTCCTTGTCTTCTGAGGCCAAAGTAGTATATACGACTGCTCGACGTGCGGGAACAACTTCAGAAAAACTGCATTCAAGGAGGAAACTTCGGGAGTTCTCAAATCTGAAGAATGACCCCTAGATTGGGGCGGCGAGCGGCGGTCAAAGCAGGAGTTATAAAATCTTGACCCGAAGAAAGTGCTATAGCAATAGCATGAGGAGGTGGTTAAGTAATCGGAAAGAGCAAGGGCGAGTAAGGATCCAAGCGAAAAACATTTTATCGAATTTGACAATGAAGAAGTTAAACGAGTAAGATTTGACGAAGAAAACTGGTAATCTGAACCTGCAGGAAAGACGTCGGGCAGACGGGATAAGAAAATTTTACCCGTAAATTTATTCGAATAAATTTCCTTAATTTAGAGCTTAGTTTCTACAAGAAAAAAGTGTAATTGACGATTAAAAAAGTGGAAAAGATTTCCATTTTTTTCAGTTCTGAGAATGTTACAGAAATTTAGGCTGCAGTCTTCCGAGAGTATCATGAGGTTTAGCTATCAAAAATCTATTTATGGTAATTGCACTAAAAAAGACTTAATATATTTGAAAATAAGTATTCTTCATTTGTAAGTTGTATAAGTTTATGAACCATGTTTTCGCTTCCATCAGAGGAGTTCGTTCACATGACCTGGTGACTACATCGAGACGCAGAAATCAAGGCCGGCTTGCAGTACAAGTGACCACCAAAGCGTTAGGCCCTGTGAGCAGGAGTTCGTGTTTCACCTCATTGTTTTGGTAGTCTATTATGAACTGTGCACTAATTTTAGAAGTATCTTATTTAAGGTAAAAATTCACTGTACTAAAGGTACTGCAGCAGGTAAGACAAATAAAACAAAGTTCAGGCATAGACATGTCCGGAATGGTCCTAAAACGAACATGCAGATACAACACACGTTGCAAAAAGCAGGACCTCTAGGCACAATCCCGAGTGCGGCGATCTCTGATGATGTGCGAAGGCTTGCTCTCGATGGTACTGCCTCGGAACATGCGAAACGCAAATTTTGCCCTCAATATGGAACGTGTGGGGCTTTGTAGAGACGATCGCGGCGTCCTAACTGCTAACAAAGAGCCACAAATGAGCGACGTTGCATCAGTTCCAGAATTTCGGAAAATCATAACATTAATTTACAGAATTTCGAAAAATTCGACGATAGAAGGTTACCGGTTAGTGCAGAAGGTTACCGGTTAGCGCAAAATTTTGGATAACACGAGCAAAATGAAGTGAACTCATGAAAAATTGTAATTTTCTATTTAGCGCATAAATTTTCAGCTCAACGTTGAAAGGAAAAGTTATTAATAGTAGTAAATTTAGTTATTAATAATAATTCAAAAATAATCTGCTCAAAAAATTTTAGAAGATCACTATTATTTCGATGAATACTTCAGAAAAGCCTTAAAAATTAAACGCAATTGAAAAATTTGTGAGCCGTCTGTGGTTTTGATGAATTTTGTCTGCATGGCTACCCCATCTGCACAAAAACGAGCCCCGAAGTGAATGCGCTATATACCGATAACATCACAGGATTCACAGCATATATTGCACCTTTTTATGCTGTTTTATGTGAGTAGCGCTAACTGTACTGACACATTCAGGTCACAAAATGATTTGTTAACAGTTAATATATTTGCACTCACTTATGGTAAAATAAGTATTAATACTCTAGTATTTTGTCGGTATTAATCTCAACGATTATTTACAGCCCTTGTTCATATGACAAATGAAAGAAGAATACAGTTTAAAGTAAAATGTTTGACTGAGTAATTTACGGCACTTATATACGAGTAATACACACACGATTGTTCTGTATGCGCAAATATTAAAAAAATTTCCCCAAATGTACTATCAAAGTCTCTCAGTTGCGAATTCATTTCCTTGATGTTATGCAGAATTCCATAGAAGTAACAGCTTCCGAAAAAAGCTCTTTTGTGTTTGCATGCAATTGATCACGATACTAAAATAGACATTAAAAAACATGGTTCAACAGATTACAGCTTCTTGTTGTAAAAAATTCAATTATTACTGTTTTAATATTAAGATTAAAATTCTTAAGAACCGTAACCGTCATTAGTCAGCACATATGGTCTCTAGTCTCGTTATTTCTATGACCAGTTTACGATCACTGCAGACTTCCCTTGCGCAATAAAACTCGTATCGATCTACTCGCTCACCATGAATAGTAGAGAAATAATTCAACTCTACTCACATATGATCACATGTGCAGTATCTTTATTTATTTTAATCCGTAACACGACGCCTATACTTATTAATTATATATCTTCAATATCAGTCCTTCTAAAATTGCCTTTACAATGGCCGCTGGTCAATATCTATTTGGCACCCAGAAATTTTTTCTGCACCCGTAACGCTTATCCGCCTTAAATTAAATGAAATTTAGTTATTAAGTGAAATAGTCGCCCGTTCCTTTGATACAGTATAACATACATGGTACAAGGACCGATGAAAAAGCTTTATTTGCGTTGCAGAACAGAGTTGAATGTTGAAAAAACAGCTATTGACCAGCGATGCATGACCGAGCTTAACATACTTCCAAGGGTGGACGTCGTCAGCCAAATAGAAATCCGCTAATCTGAACAAAATGGCTATCCAAAATTACCGAGCAAATTTTTGGAATAAAACAAATTTATTTAATAGAAAAGCTAAAATGAAGAAGAGGTGCAATGTATTAAATTGATTGCATGAAACAGGCAATATGCCGAACATGATCGGAAAACTGCTTGTTTCTTATTCAACTACAATATGCCTCCTACCTTATAAGTTATACCGTACAACATCTATTTACATCGAATGTCTCCTGCACTGAATTTGCTGGCTGACACAATTAAGTGTGCCAAAATTCAACGGAATTAATGAACTATTTTATAAAATTTTATCACTAACAAGGCATGCTCAGTAACACTTAATTTGACCGCCTCCAGTCGCCGTCCCCTCATAGAGACGAGGGTAACGCTTTGGCCGCCACCATTCACCATCCCCTCATCGAGACGAGGGTAAGGCTTTGACCACCTACAGTCGCCGTCCCCTCATTGAGATGAGGGTAACGCTTTGCCACCTCCAGTTGTCGTCCCCTCATTGAGACGAGGGTAACGCTTTGGCCACCTCCAGTTGTCGTCCCCTTATTGAGACGAGGGTAACGCTTTGGCCACCTCCAGTTGTCGTCCCCTCATTGAGACGAGGGTAATGCTTTGGCCACCTCCAGTTGTCGTCCCCTCATTGAGACGAGGGTAACGCTTTGACCGCCTCCAGTAACCGTCCCCTCATTGAGACGAGGGTAACGCTTTGACCGCCTCCAGTAACCGTCCCCTCATTGAGACGAGGGTAACGCGTTGACCGTCTCCAGTCACCGTCCCCCTCATTGAGACGAGGGTAACGCTTTGGCCACTGGCAGTAACCGTCCCCTCATTCAGACGAGGGCTCGGCATACTAAGTACCGGTCGTCATTGAGGGCTGCTGCACTGCTGCGTCACTTCACTGGCTTCTTCTTCCCATTTGCACGAAAGTATTTCTAATATTAAGCTGTGCAGTCAACAAGCTTTATCTGGAAAAAATGCGTCTTGATCTAAAATTGATTTTAAAAACACAACTTTGGTCTAGTATGATATGATTTTATTTAGGCTGGAAAGTCTGGGAGCTCAACAATAATGTCCGAGATTGAAATAAATCATTTGCAGCGCATCTATGACGTGCTTATATAGTGATATTTTTCTGTGATCAACATATGCTCGCTGGGATCACTTAAATAGGGTACATACGTATACCGCTCACATTATATTTTTATGCTATTTATGAATACTATTTCATTGCAAAATATAACAAGGGATTATGAGGGTGTTTCCAAGATGTTAGGGCGTACTTATGGTTAGAACCTAATTTGTATTAAATTGAAATGTTATTATTTGTGGAATTTTTTTTCGATGATTCGTTAAAAATACATTTTAAAAATGTTACGTTGAAAATCATGACATATATACAGGTAAATATTTTTATATGCCTCAACAAACTGCCTGCGCTCAACGACTTATTTTCGCCTGTTAATTTGCCATTTATACTATAAAAACACCCTGGATTTCCGATTTTATAATATAATGAGATTTTCGCCCAGATTTTGTCCAGACGCCCTGTCTGAAAAGTAATTTGCTGGCCACAATTGTGACCTCCGGTTCCATAAATTGTTTAACTTTTCAAATTTTTGAGACGTTAGTAAACTTTTCAGATTTTGAAAAGTTAACGAAGCTAAAGAAAATTTTCCATTCTTTTGGTTTCGTAGTGAGAAGATTCCGCGATTTAGTTTATGTAAGTTCATATTTGAATCCTCGATTGATGATTTTCTTCTTTTTTTTATCTTTCTCATTCGTTAACTTCTAAATGTGAACAATCAAAAGAACTGTACTCTTTTTGCAAAACTAGCTTTAACTCTACGGATATTGCAAAGAATATTTAAGTAACTTTAAAAACTTTCACGGCTTCACTGCAGGTATTCAAGTTATCTCTTCCTACGCGATAGCCGATATAAAAAATTATTCTCATCTGATTCGTGCAGAGTTCATGGTTCTTTAATTTATTGAAGTATAAAGTTTAGTTTACAAACTTTAATTTATTAGTGTAGGTTGATCTGTTTAAAAAATGTTTGTTTCAGTCCCGTTCGACTGAAACAAATAATACTGTGTTATCTAAGATTCTTTTTTCACATATAATAACAACTCCAAATGCCAATAATCTATTAGAATCACACGAACATGGTTCGAATATATCAATGTTATTGATTGTGAAATAGCTAGATTTACGGACTATTAATGTCTTCATCAAATACTTCAACGACCAGGTGGATATATATACATTTAAACAGAAGCAACATCAATAATAGAAACATTACGTTTCAGGCTTTTTGAGAAAAATGCTCTGCAACTTTTCAATACTGGAAATAATTTCATTTGTTCATCTGAAAAATGTTCAAGTCATGAATAGCATCGGAACAAAATCATTGATCTCTTCGGAACATTTTGCACTAGTTTTACGAATTTACGCGAACTAGCAGCAGGTTATCAATAAGGATAAAATAACTTATTTTCAAAATATCCACGATCTCGAGAAATTTCACACGGCCGTAGCTCGCCGCTGTTTGGTGCCGCATTATCTCGTCCCTCAGCATCCCGTGCTCCCCTCACTTGCCCAGCAGCCGCCGGCCTGGGCACACGTGGGTGTGGTGCGCCGCGCTCGTCTGCTCCAACTTTCGTCTTAGTCTACGGGCCTGCCACGTTGCGAGGATTTCGATACCCTCGACCGTAGCGCGAATTTAGACGATTCCTTTCTGTTATCTCTGATCCTTGCAGCAATTCATACTGGTAGGAAGAACCTAATTGGCACTATTTTTATGACTGCCTTCAAGATTGCGTTTAAAATTTTCTATTTTGACGGCGTAATGTGTGGAATTTTAATATTGACAATCATTAAATGAAATCACTGAAAATTCTTTTGCTCGGTATGAGGAATTAACCGAATAAATAATTATTAGCCTACATGTTAAATACGTATCTGAATCTATATGCGGTCAGGCCAAATAAAGCAAGAAATAGTACAATATCAGAGCAATAGGCTCCCAAAATTTTATCATATAGACACCAGAAAAAATATTATTGATGATTCTGGCACTGGTTATGTCCTAGGCATTTATTAACTCGTTCAAGTGACCTTAAGCCTAAAATTCATTGACAAATTGACTTAATTTACTGTTCAATAAGGCTCACTATATTCTTTCTTACAAAAATAATCGATGAGTATCCAAAAAATATCCAACATGGCATTCAGTCTTGTTTTCCAATTAAAGATCAAATATTACCTAAAAATAAAGACTAATAAGACAATTTTGTACGAACAATTTCCGACTTTCATAATTTATTTGCACCATATCATCAATTTCGCCTTCTTCTCAGATAAAAAAAAAACTAAATATAATCGCAGGATACCCGCTATGAACACTCGGATTGCAATGCGCAATTTTCCATAAATGAAAGTGAAAAGTTTTTACCCTGAATTCTTCGCTGTAAATATAGTAACAGGATTCATTCAACTTAAAACGTATTAAATTCAGTCCAAAGCTCGTACCTATCAAGATGAACTTCGTGCCACATTTGTGTATGAAGCTCCTGCTTCTACATCTCCTGTTGTCTCGACCGTCTCCAGCGCACGCTGCTCCGGATGCAGCGAGCGATCACGGTGAGATGTTAATTTATTTACATGTTTAATCATTTAAATGTGTTTATTTGTACGTGCAAATAGATTTTACAAGAAATTAGCTTGACTCTATGGGATTCGAGGGAAGATATTGATGAACCTCGTTTAAATTTAAAATGATAGTGCAAGTTCTAGATTTGGATTCAAGAGATATTTTGGCATCGTATATTGGAAAGGAACAATTTTAACCTTTATAATATTAAGTTGCATATGTGTTATTAAAATATTTTATGGATTTCCTATTTTATGATGCGATAACAGTTTCTTGTTCGGAACCTGAAAATATTTTCTCTTGCCTAGAAAGCGTTAACATTTCAATGCCTAGAACGTGGTAACTTTTTTCTTGCCGGGATAGCGGTAACATTTTTCTACCTGGAAGGTAGTAACATTTCTGTGCATGAAAATTAACTGGATTTGGCGGATCATCGGGATGATGCGTTTGGTCTCTTGGATTTAATTGCCAATTGATTGTATTTAATTTAAAATTCTTTCCCCGCTAAGATGAAAAGTTCTGCAAATTCATTTACCAGAACACTAAAAAAATACCGCGTTTAACTATACCGTATAAATTTGCGTGAAAGTCTCCCTTTGAATACAGAAACGCAGTAAGCGACATGACTTGTCGGGCGCTTGAATGTACTAATCACTGCCGGTGCTCGTGCTTGAAAAGTATTTCATTCATGCATTATAATTAGCAACATGCGGCATAATTGACCATCTAATATAGTAGAAGGCAGTGAAGTTGACAAGACGTCACAATTATTAAAAATTCAGCGGCTTGGTGTGCAGAACCTCACAATTCACACAGAAGTTGGACGCTGGGAGTCCAGGTCACCACAATTCACACAACAGTGGGCGACAGGGAGCTCAAAATGTCACAATTCACACAGCAGTTGGCTGTCAGAATACAGAACGTCACAATTCACACAGCAGTTGGCTGTCAGAATACAGAACGTCACAATCCACACATCAGTTGGCTGTCTACAATACAGAACGCCACAATTCATACACCAGTCGGTGACTTGTAATTCAGAACGTCACAATTCACACAGGAGCGGCGGCAGAGCGTAAAGGTTGTCGATATTCTGCCAGCCTGTTGAAAGCGTCAGTTTGCTTTGGAGTCTCGCACTCAGCATTTGATTAATTCTGCTCGCTCTTGCATCAAGTTTTCCTCTAAAAATTCTTCCGTCCATACCTGTCATTTTAGGCAGACATTCACAGGCTGCCACCGCCCAACGAAATTCATTTATTATCATGGCGCAGTCTTCGAGCTAAAGTCACTTCTTGTTACGTGCAGCCTTGGTTCTAGCGAAGACTTGATTAATTTAAAGGAGCCCTGATGTCTGAATTGCTCGCGGTAAGATGGATGCTGCCGCGTCATCTATTATTTTAATTTTAAAACATATTATTCATCATTTATCAAATTTATAATTCTATCTATACTCAGATTATAATTACCCTTATTCATGTGATATGTAATTTTTTATTCATTTGTTATTTAGAATGATTTTCAACGCCATGTCGCATCACCTAAAATTCAAATCAAATATGCCAATTTTTAAAATTAAATTTCATTATGTTTGGTATAAATTAAAACGAATTTGGATCATTTTTTATGAATCGTTTTCAACGTGCATTACTTTATTACGCTATCTAATTTCCCGACGTTAATAAATGACACTTTAATCACAACAATGTTCTGAGATGAGACACCATTACCACCGTTCACGCATTTATCATAAATAAAATATAATGTGTGATTTAGCAGGAATTTAACCTCGTATCTACTCATCCATTAAAGCTGTCATCGTTAGCCAAATTTCCGTCAGACAACGGGAGCATAAATCGAATAAAGTAATGACATTTTTGAAGGCTTCTTTATTTCTAGATCGCGATATTTTCCGCTGCGACACCGTGAACCGGCCGGTCAGTCGACGGGCCATTTAAATTCAAGCTTCCCTGTGTGGATTTCGTCCGGAAAAATTGCAGGTACGAAGCATGCATGTTATTCGTACGGGACTCATGCAGGGACCTGAAGCGCAGGTATTAAGCTGAAGCGATGAAACGTGTTCGTTGGAAGCGACCCATGCACCATCCACGCTTTACTGGCCGCTGCACATCAAAAATAATATCAGTAATTCGTGTGGTCAAAGGACCGAAACTCTATGATATTATTTGGACCATCAAAAAAATCACGGTGCGTACGATGCGATCCACATGGAGTCAGGCACCAAATATTGCGCACCCAAACCTGTGGAAAAAACACTGATTTGTGATGCCGACACACTTAAAATTCAACCCGTGGGACGTACCCGCTTTTATGGTTGACTTTAGATGACAAACTTCAGGGGTTGAAACCGAGAGTTTATTGCAATATTAATAAAATGTAACAACAAAAAAGAAGTGCAAATATATTATTCGTGCTTCTAAAACTTTTCATTAACAGATGTTAAGAATTTACCTGAAGCTAAGTTGCGGGTACCAACAAGACACCAGGATGAATTAGGTTTAAATTTTTTGGCAAAAAATAGTAGAAAGATAACAATAATGTTCTTCCGACTCATTACCTCACATGAGATCCATCAGTCTTCTGAGAAAAGACACCAAGTTCTTATTGCAGTTTCTTCTTTTTATATACTTGTTATCCAGCGGACTCATCTGTATAAAAGACGTGAGGATAGATCGTCGCATGCCTGCTAAAAATGCCCGAAAGTTTGCAATGGAGACCCGAGCTCTTGTGTCATGGCGTCTTAAACTTTGCCAGGCTTACCAACACGTCAAGAGAAAGCAACGGAAATACAAAAAAAAAGTAGCCTTAGGTCCAAGAAATACATACAAGCACACCTTCTACTTCCTTGTGCATTATTTAAACCTTGAATAATAACGATTGTAATACAATTTTTAAGTATATAACCAACTTGATAATTGGGGCTATGACAGATGAAATCGATAAGGCGGTTTCTATCTGTAAACAATTCTTGAAATACATAAGCATTAGGTGGAACTTTTTCTAGAATAGGAGAATTTTAATCCTAACGATGTTCATGAACAACTCTAAACAGCTGCTTTTGGGGATGAAAATTTTCCTTCCGTTGTTAGGAAATTTCTTACAAATACGAGCGAGAATGTGCCTGAAGCAATAATGCACTTCGTATTGATTTCATTTACACTAAAATAAAATGAAAAAGACACAGTAGAACGAACTAAGAAAATTCCAAGAATATTTTATGCGGAAATATACTTTGAGCCACCACGCGAAAAATGTTCTCCCTTTAATCAATATCCAACATAAAAACAAGTCGCTAAGGGAAATCGGCGATCGCATCTATTTTTGGTAGTGATGGTGATGGCCAGCGCTGCGATCTTTGAACGAGAAAAATGCAAAAGCTTTTTCGTTGGTCAAGCCACTCGCCCTGGTTCATGTTCAGCTCGTTTCCAATTAACACTTGCATGCATCAAGCGAGGGCTCCCGACCCTCGGATATTGTGAAGCTTTAGGCCCGAGTTAGCATTATAGTGAAGCAGGAAGAATTGAAGAAAAAATTGTGTGGTTACGCTTAAGCATTGATTAAGTATTGAATGTGGATTGAGGAATTATTCTATACAGAACGAGGCGCTGTGAGAACCTTGTGCTTGGGTCAAGCACAATGAAAAATTTCTAAAACCATCAGGATTAAATAAGAAGCAGGGGTTGATAATGGGCTTTGCATACGGGATTTTGATCACAAATTTGTCCCCTTCAAGATTTACTTTCAATGGGCATACTAAATACCATCTTATAGCACAACACTCAAGCAATGCAATTATATAAATATCAAGCAGAAGCATGGAAATTTTCCAAGCTGAACAGATTTCATATTCATTGCCCGTGGTTGAGGTTGTGAGGAACGCTATCCCGTGCGATGCAATTCATCACAAAATGCGGCGCTATTGAAGCTGCGTTATGGAACGGTTAGGCTAATAGCCTTCTTGAGCAAAACGCTGGAACATAGAACAAATTACTAGCTTCATGTCTGCCATCACGCTTCCGCTTCATTTAGAAGCGCATGTATTACATATTGAAAGTGAAAGAGCATTTCGAAAATATGGTAATTGAAATTTCTCGTGTGTACCTCCAATTTCTGGAAATTTTTATTTTCTAATATACAATAATGTCATTAAGATACGTTTTTAGATCCTTGCTCCTCAACTAAACATGTAAGTGCGTCAGAAAAAAAGACACGAATAGTGTGCGAGACTGAAAGTCTGTACAGGCTGTAGCACATTGTTGCAACTGAAAAGAACGCTGTTGCACTGCGCAGACTGTATTACATTGCTGAAAGTTAAGAGAATGCGGTTGCACTGCATAAATTGTAGCACATTGTTGCAAGTGAAGAGAAACCTATTGCACTGTATAGGCTAGCACATTTTTGTAGCACAAACCAAGTTTCGCTCATCAATCTGTGCGCTAAAGCACATCTGCTTCATCTTAGCCATGATACCTGCTTCATCGTAGCCATGATACCTGCTTCATCGTAGCCATGATACCTGCTTCATCATAGCCACGATACCTGCTTCATCGTAGCCATGATACATGCTTCATCTTAGCCATGATACCTGCTTCATCGTAGCCATGATACCTGCTTCATCGTAGCCATGATACCTGCTTCATCGTAGCCATGATACCTGCTTCATCGTAGCCATGATACCTGCTTCATCGTAGCTATGACTCCTGCTTCATCGTAGCCATGATACCTGCTTCATCGTAGCCATGATACCTGCTTCATCGTAGCCATACCTGCTTCATCGTAGCCATGATACCCTCATTAAACACTGCTCGGCCGTGCGCCGGAAATTGATGGCGAAGGCTTCTTGCTACGCGGTTTATAACGAACCAAATTAGGTCTTATGGAAGAGATTAGATTTTAAGTGGCCAGGAAGGCATTCAATTCGAGTGGTAAGTTGGATTCTAGCTTTTTTAGTGCAGAACTGGAGAAATTTACT